GAAAATCGAGGAGGTACTCACTGAAATTTGAAAAATTCGAAATTTTCAAAAAAGTATCCGGGGAGCATGAAAATCGAGGATGTATTCACTGAAATCTCAAAATTCGAAATTTTTGAAAAAGTATCAGGAGAACATGAAAATCGAGGAGGTATTCACTGAAATTGAAAAATTTTAAATTCCCAGAAAATAAAATTCATTCAATCGATTGATCCCTCTGACAGCGGGACTGCTACTGAGGCAGTTACCGAGTCGGCTGACGGGCAGACACCTCCATTGCATGTGGCGCCTTCCCTCTCTTGGGGTGCAATACTACGATGCTGCTGGGGTCACTCCAACCCCCAGAACTGAGCCTCTACTTTAGTCAATCCTCTTTGACTAGACACGACACGATTTTTTTGTGGGAGCTTTTATAAACGCTAGTAATCTCTCGTGAAAGTGAAAACGAGCCCACGTGTGTTACCTCTAACCTCGAAATACCCTGGAAAATGCAATAATATTCTGAGGGAACTCGTGTGATGTTGCAGTGGTGCAAAACGTGTAAAACGATATGACAGTCTATCACGACGAGGTGGAGATTGAGGACTTTGAGTACGACGAGGACGAGGATATTTATTACTACCCCTGTCCGTGTGGTGATCAATTTCAGATATCGAAGGCAGATTTAATTGCTGGAGAGGAGGACGCAACTTGTCCATCGTGCTCACTAGTTGTAAGAGTTATTTATGATAAAGCTGCTTTTGCAGCTAAACAAGAGGAAGTTGAGAAAAAAGAAAATAAGGAATTGATTAAGGAAAAGGCCTGATAGTATGTACCTATGCAAACTGTTGATTTCATTGACGCGAAAAATACACAGATCCTCAATTTATGATCACTCATTAACTTGTTATTATATATTTTCAGATAACCTGAAGGATTAAAAATAAAACGATGGCAGGACGTGGTCGAGGTGGCCGTGCACCCCAGTTATCCCTCAATGCTGAGCAATTTGGTTTTGGAAAAGGAGAGGAAAAAATTGCACTTCCTCCAGTTCTCCAGCCACCACTGAAATACCCACCTATGGAATACAAGGCTCCACCTTTTCAGCTAACCGTCGAGCTATCTTATCTCCTCCAGTTGAAACGCGACTTCGGTGAGGCCCTGAGAGAATCCCCCAACAATGTTCAACCGATAGCCGTGAAGAAAGACATTGAGAGGTATTCAGATAGATACCAGGACATGATGGTAGACAAATCGACATACGAGCAGCGTTACGACTGGAACAAATTCCCGAAGGAGTTGAAACCCGGCGGAAGGAAACGAAAGGCTAAAAAGTCTCAGGTGGAGCCCAAGATAAAAAAGGAGGTGGATGTGGAGAAGAAGCTCCAGGAGCTTGAGAAGAAAGAGGTTACTCAGAAGAGTGATGATGAGGATGAGAAGGGCGATCAGGATGGAGAGGAAAAGGATGGCGATGAGGCTGTAGAGGATGAGGAGGCTGAGGTCGACGAGGAGATGGACGATGGTACTGATTATGTTAATAATTATTTCGACAATGGCGAGGGGTATGAGGATGAAGACGACAATCTTGATGATGGTCCAATTTATTGATTTCTAGAAAAAAATGTGATTGCAATTTGTATTCAAAGTGTTCGGTGAAAACGATTTTCGACAAATCTATCCAGCGCTTTTATGTACGTGTAAATACTTGATTCTATCATAAAATAAAATAAAAATTTACATACTAATGGTTGTCTATAAATTTTGTAGAAAAATGAATTTACCTTTGTGAGAATATTCCATCAGTTAAAGAACGCTCTACTGGATAGTCTTCTTATTTCATTCAATGATAGAACAATAAAGCTTTTTCAAGAGGAAATATTGAGGTCCAATTAACTGTATTGTTCACCAATTGAAATCTAATATCTTGAATTGCTCATTTTTTTGCCGAGTCGCAGGAAGCTTCGGCGTGTCTTTATTACGAGTATTTCAATTTCTAATAATATATTATATACGTAGCCATACTAATTTATTTTTGTTTCATTTTTCCCCCCTCTGCCTCAATTTATCAATTCCCAATATTGTTATTAATGAATGATTCTTCAATTAAATTTAGTTATTTGACCGCAAATGGAGGGGAATTGTGGTTCTCAGAGGGAATGAACGCGAAAATAGGACACAGATTATTTTCTCATGTCGCTGGTATTATTAATTTTTTTAGTTCACTTTACGTCTATACGTATCATTGAAGCATTTGTTAACACTTTATATCCACTGCATTCCGAATTAATTGCAAAATAATGACGACAATAATTTTCTTTTCTTCGCTTAAATGTGCTTACATAATATATCAATGTTTCCTGACTCCAACGGCTCATTCATATTATCAACGATAACGTGAAATATCGTATCAAATGTAATTAACGTGAAATGATAGACTCAGTCATGTTGATTATATATTTCTTCACTTTGTTATTTTGTTTCTTCTTTTATTTATGCATGCCCACTCCGTTGACTGTTTTGCAAAATATGAGAAACAATTTTGTTTATCTTTTTTTCATAAAAATCCCATCACATGATTAATTAATTACCCTGCACCAAACAAATTCGTGTACACACGAGTGAGGCCTTCATTTGTTTAAAAAGATTCTCATCATCACATTTGTTTCAATAATTGTTTCAATACATATTTTTTTCAATGAATAATATTATATACACTAGTTGAAAGTATTCGGAAAGAAGAGTAAATTCTTTCATTAAGTTGAATAAAAAGATAATTTGAAATTTATCAAAATCAAACGTAATACATATGATTATATATGATGATAGAATAATTTGAACTATCGTAAGTATAAAATTAACCGAAAATCCATGGACTAAAATTGACGCAATATTATTACTATACCATCATCTCCTTATTCGCCATAATAATCAGAATTAAACAATACACTCAATCGTGGCAAATTCGTTGTACCTCGTGCTCTTAAACTCTTAAATCTCCGTATAAACATCAAAATCAACAATACATTATTTGGTGATGTAAGTGCGCATCAATTATTCTCGTATTTTCGCAAAACAGTTCGGCCAATATGAATCACTCTCGCCTATTAAACCATCAATCAATCTCCCATGTTTATTGAATTATTTAAATGTATATAATTGTCATATTGTAATATGTTCTATCTATTTATAATAGGCGTTTACAGACTAAGGCGGGGAGGGACGCAGAAAGAAATCCCGGGTTTGCCTTATTTAATGTTTTTCTTTGTCGCTCTTGTGATTTATCTTTTCATTATCGTTAAGAAAAAAATTGTTTACAATTACTTTAATGTTAAACTTTGAGTAATTACCTCTCTGTGGCTTTGTTCTTGCACCTCGATCGATTGCGATAAAAACTACACGTAACTCCCATTGAATTTAAATCAAAATGGGATTATCACTCTCAGGAGAAATAATCGTTTTTAGATAAAACTCTGGATCAGAGTCGGGTGATTTAATGCCATTCTTCTGGAAAATATCTACGTGTCCAGCACGCAGTCCAATCCATTTCATATTTTCATTGTCATTATCTAGAAACGATCAAATCACTTACAAACGTGAATTAAAATTCAATGATTAATAAAAACGAGCCCGATGGTTACAGTGGTCTCAGAAATACTCAGGGCAGTTTACTATAAATTCAGACGAATTTTTTCTTGCTTCATTTTTGTCACAGGAGCGCAGGACAATCGGTGCCTAGAAAATTCGGACGGGCAGTGTGAGCTCGCGAGGTGCATTCGAACGGAGTTTTCAATTATTTTTATATATACCTTTTGTTCTCAAGGAGCTGTGTTGTGTGGAATTTTTATCAATGAAGTGAACTGAGGAATTTGAATTTCGAGTTCTGTCATTCTGGTGAATATCTTGGGAATTTCACCAATTCCATCTCACATTTACGCTTGAGGAATTCAGAACAACAAACTCAAACATGTAATTATCCTTTTTTCCTTCTCCCCTCATTTGTGAGGAGTTAAATAAAATGAGTAATGACAGTCACTCGATTAGTTCCTCGAAGCTAGACGCATAATATCAATAATAGATCTAAATCATACGATATCATTTTCTTGAAAGAAAAAAAAAAATTAAGAAAGCTCAAAGGTGTAGAGTGCTTTAAACAATCTCACGGGGACAATATTCTTATGATTTCTAACTCATTATTCATACAACCTCTAACTCATTAAATCACCCGCTAATCTCCTCGTAATCTCCCTGCATCCTACCTTCACCGAATTCCATCAGTCGATTATTGAGTTTTTATGGTTTCAATTGTTCTCCTGTCTTATGCAGTTTTAATTATTCTCAAATCACTACTGTTGGTTGGATTTCAATTAGTTAAATCATTTTTATAGACTTTTGGACGTGGAATCTGGATGGAGTGTGGTGTACTGGTGTATCTTGATGCGCGTGAGAAAAAAAATTCATCATTCTCATCGAGTATGAAACTTACCCTCCACCCTTCAATCCTCAATCTTCATCAATTACTCCCGTCCCTATCGATTCAAGCCAGTATTATTTTCTTTATTTTGTTTAATTTCTTTTTTTCATTACCTATCTCACTCCCTTGAGAAAACAGTCTCAGCGTTGACTAGTAAAAAAACTCCAGTATTACCTTCAGCCTCTAGACTACCAGACATAACTACAGAAATCACCCGAACGCTTTATTTTTATTTCTTCGTTTGACCTCAAGGGATTTTCCACATGGATTTGCCATTCTCTGTCTTCATTTAGTCACTTATCTTGCTGACTCCTTCTCCCATCGAGCATTCTCCTCGAACGTCAATACTCATTAATAAAATCAATGAACCGGAGATAAAATCATGCAGGTAAATCAGGTAGCGCCTCGTATCTAATCTGAGGGACAAGTACATCCTCAAAAATCCAATAATATATATAATTAAAAAATCAAACCTAAATGCATCAAAAAACATTGTGAGACGGAATGTAATGCAGCGTTCGATCGATCTCTCCAATCTATCCTTGACTCTCTTTCCATGAATGATATTTATTTCGTATCATATTTCTCACTTTATCGCAGTGCAATGCTATCTATTATTTATCGAATAAATCATTGTTAACCGGTTGCTCCCTGCGTCTGGAGCTAATCAAATCGTGATCACTCGTCCGTACGACGCAATCGATGCTAATAATCACCAACCGAAATATCCTCCCCAATGAATCCGCTTAATCGATACTCCTGATGAAAATGGATTTCAATTAACAAAAATAATTTCCACGCGTTTGTCAAAATCAAATAGCACATTAATCAATTGTATTTCCCTTTCATTTCATTCCATCGAGTTCTGCTCTGTTCTGTATTTTGATTCACGTGGTTAATAATATAACGTACAAAAATGCTTGAAGCCCCCAAAATCTATTCTGGGTTTACACGAATTAGCACGTAAAGCCATTCAGCAGATTGTTCTCATTGGCCATTGATGATTAATAAATGATTATGAGACATTACTCAATCTATTCGAAACGAATTGGTCTAGAAGGCCCAAAGGAGCATTGGACGACGATCACGAGAGCTCATCAGCTCCAATTATTCAAATCTATCGATCGAATATTTCATTCTCATCTTCAATCTTCTGCTAGCACTCTAGCCTATGATGCGACTTCATTTAATGATTTTATATTTCTTTTCATTTTTAATCTTTCGAATTTTGTGATTAAGCCTGATTCTCGGGTCCACCCTTGCCCCAGAATTTATCGAAGCGATTACGAGCAATTTCGAGGACATCACTGGTTACTGATCGTTGTTGTGCCCCTGGACTAAGTACTGGAGCCTCTAGAACATGATAGCCTGCGCTGGAAGTGCTACCTACACCACCTGCAGGCACTACTGGATCCTCTGCTTCTAGTACACGATAGCCTGATTGTGTCACTGGAGCTGTTGTTGTTGGGACAACTGGTTCTGTGGTTTTTTGACCTCGATCGAACTCGAAGACTGGATCCTCCAAGCAGCGGAGATTCGTTCCAGCTACTGGCTTTATCGAGGGCTCCTCTGGCAATTTCTCCTTCGTCTCTGGTACTACTGATCCCTGGAGACATAAACAAGAGAACTATAGGGCATCTCGGCTCTCTGGTCTGATGAATTATTTCTTTTTCATTCTGAAAATCCTCTGCACAAGTGGTACACAGAGATTCGTTGTTTTATAGGGATACATTCTCCACTGTCATGAATAATTGGAAAACCGTGTTGCGGAATAGAACACTGGATGAGACATTTACTCAACCACACCATTGCAATTCCTGGCAATATGTCTGGAGAGGCTTCAGGTACAGATATATAGGTGCAATTTTTATTAATAATTCAAGTGGCAGTTCGAATTCAGGATGGCATTCTGTGATAAATTTATAGATTGCTTTATGGGTCAACTTTGGGAGACAAGGTCTCCGAAAAAGTCCTTTTTTTGTATTTATTTTATAACTTCGTATCCTTTTCCTTATCATCCATAAAATGTCATTCCCCGAGTTTCTCTGAGCTGGATAGTTCCAGAAATCTTTGAGAATAAAATTTGTATGCAGTTCTTACCCATCATGTTTCATATAACTTTTTTTTTATGAAATTGAATTCACTTAAATATGGAGAAAAATAATGGCTTTTCCACTTTTCATTTTTGACAGGAAGAATTATTTTCTTGAAACACGTAAAGTGGAAATTCTCTCAAACGGAAGGAATGATTGCACTTTATAATGAAATATAGATGTTGAGTCGAATATTGAAATAATAAAAGTAAGACAAGAGGGAGCAAAGTCAATAAAAAATTCAGCGATAATTCTACGAACATTATCCGCAGCAGAAGCCGTAGAATTCATTCATGAGGAATTTTATGGCCTATCAAAATGCGTACTTGACATATACCTCTCAACCCACCGAGTGTAGCGAATGAGCGAGTAAAATATTCAGTAAACAGTCCAACTCCGCAACAAAATGATATCCATTAAAAATGAAAAAAATTTTGCACGTCATAATCTCTATTTCAATGATTTCCACTGCTGTCCTATTAATTAAGCATTCAGAATTATATCAGTGTAGAAATCACAAGGGACAGTTCTTTCCATTTTCATTCAATTGGAAACCTCGGAGTGGCGAGGTAAATTGCAATTAACAGAATTCAATAGAACGGAGTTGATTACCTAATTAGTTTCATTCCATTGAATGTTTCCAACGTGCAAAACTCATATCACAGAATGATGAAAAAGTTGTGTATCGAGATAGACAGGAAATAATTAAAATAACTCTAGTATTTACCTTATCACTTTGCGATGTTGTGGATGTACCCTGTAGATTGTTGGGCAGTGGACTGTCCCTCTCCGAGTCGAGATCCTTGTGGCCATTGAGGCCGGTGTAACTCCCCAGGGAGACGCTCTCGCTCTCCGGTGATTTGCATCCCGAGTGCTGTGATTGATGATGAGATTTGTGCTGAGCTAGTTCTGGAGGTGCTGATTGGGGTGTTGATATCACTGTCGACCCTGCGGCCCAAGTCTTCGCCTCGCTGTGAGGTCGGGTCAGGGGTTCCCCTTTTTTTATGAAAATTATCAATTATTTTAACAGAGACAATCATCGTTATGATAAAAATTCAATGATATTTACCGGCAACAAACTAAGAAATATGATACCAGTCTCTTAAATGCACTTTAATGAATACAAATTAATTAGATGGTTTCATTTATATGTATTAAGTTTAATTGGATTGTTAGACTAATTAAGATACAATCGGGGGGAAAATCAATTTTTTAAAGATCTGGTTTTCCCAGTCTGGCTATTTCCCGGCGGGGAAAATTGGGTTTCATGTGTTACAAGTTCGTTGTGTTATTAATTGATCGTGTTGAACATAAACTCCAATTAACTCGCACTTGTAACGAAAAGGCCTGGAGGAATGCATCATTTCTGCTCCCTGAGAAATGTACGCCTGTTATAGATATTTTTTGAAAAATTTAATGGCCATTTCAATGGAAATAGAGCTCAAACTATTGATAAATGTGTAATAAAATTTTTAATATGACATGTTGATAAAAATTCGATTCGGGTAAGGAGAGGAATGTATTTCTTAACAATTGACCGTTGAATATTTATAATTAGGTGTGTGAGAATTGGAATGATTGAGATCATTGTTAGCCTCACCTTCCCTCACATTTTGGGTGACCGTGAAGGTCTTGCCGGTGTCCAGGGGGACTGTCCAATTTACTGGCTCTGGTGATCGCATTATCATCTGTTCTGGGGATTTTACTCGTGTTGGCTCTGGGGGACTCTTTACCACTGGCTCGTCGTCGAACCAAGGACAGCTTGTCACTACTGCGGTCGCTACTGGTGCGGTGGCACTCTGCGACGGTGGAGTTGACGCGATGCTCGAATCGCCCCCGGTTCCGTCGCCGTTCACCTGGGGTTCCGCTGTCACTGCAAGAACCAACGTTCCCGACTTATTTGGCAATTGCCTCTGATCATTCACTGGGGAACACCAGGGGACATGCTCGCTCTCGACGTCAAAAAAAAATCATCATTCTGATTTTTGCCTGATCTTTCCAATTTGAGCATTTCAATTTTTTAGCCAATTGTTGGGACTTTTTCGTCAATTTTTCTCGTTAGTTCCACTTGTTTTTTTTTTTTCTTTTCAAGTTCGGTTAATTGGGCTTGAAAAACATTTTGTTCGTCAGGATATCGCTGGTCATTGATTCTGAAAAGCAGTCAGCCAGAAGCCGTGCAGCAATGCCAATTAAATTCCAATGTATTTACATTTCACTTCCCATGATTTTAATTACAATAGGAAAACGTCGAGTACGAGCGCATGAGCAAGTTCCGATGCATGGTTTATTGCATATATATTCAATTTGCAATGTCAATATGATGGTTCAGCACACTTATGGAATTACGGACGTTCAAAAATAACTCTCGAATTAAAAATATTGTTATTCCTTGAAAAATTATTGCTTATTCTACAACTTGATGGGATTATAAATTTTCTATGTCGTTTTTTATAACAAATTCTGAGAATAAAAAAATGAAAAATTTAGTAGTAACAAGAGATTTTATCCAGCGGCATCCCAGCAGATGACAACACATTCAATGCAACGACATCCTCTTTGATAAAATTCTGCCTAATGAATTTGAAAGAGTACTAATTGTCTTTGCTGGTTAATATTTTTAATTTGAGAAATATCCTTTTCTTCTTGGTGAACATATATTTTTGTGCCAAAGTGAAGTGGGAAAACCGGAGCGATGTCGATTAAAACTTTGACAAAGGGCTCAATAATCTGTGAAAATAAAATGAATTAACATTAAATGACGTCCCCTCTTGCAGGCGGTTGGAGCAAAATTTCGACTTTCTACAGTCCCCATCCACTGAAGGGGGCCTTAATCACAAATTTATTGCACACACATATTTGGATATTGAGTATTCGGGAGTGTTTGTATGTGTAGACATATTTAATATCAAACATTAACACAAAGAGCCAACGTTCAAATACAGGAGATAGAGAGCACGAAGTAGGTGAAGTCAGTGTTGGAGGAGAACTTTGCAGAGACGACAGACAGATTGTCGCACAATTCAGTATGTGAGAGAATTTCGGATAAAAGATTAATGGACCAGGAGAATACGGGATGAGTGAATGGAAGAGTAGGAGGAGAATGCAAAAGCCAGAAAGCATTTACGGGATTCCAAGATTAATGATCTCGGTATATTGGTTAAAAGCAGTATATCGATGACATCGAGATTACACAAAAAAAATACACAAATGTTAGAGGAGAGGGTACACAGTAAAAGTGGTGATGTGGAGTGGTGGTTTGATAACACATGAGTATCGGGAATTAAGCTATCTATAGACATCCAGACATCCATCGACACAATTGAACAATAGAATCGATTGTTAGAGAGAACAAGCTTTTTTACTCAACTGGACGTAATTGGAGAAGACATCGATTCACGTAGCGCCGTTGAAATGATTTTAGATTAATTTTAAAGGGTTTGTAATACATGGGAGACGAATTTTCAATGTGCAAAAATAAATATAGCGTATTTTATAGTCTGTGAAAACGTTTTACTGTAGAAAATCCAAAATTATAGGATTGCCAAAGGAATTAACGGAAGAGGCAGGTAATCGTTTAGTTGTTTTGAAATTTTTAATTTTTCAAAGTTTGGGAGAAAATTGTTTGGATAAAATAGAAAATTGTATGAAAACGGAACGTAGAATTGGAATAGGCGAATGATATTGAATTCTAAAATCATTTCATGTTGGAGAAACAAATGAATAATAAAAATGACGATGTAGACGTTATCACTGGGGACAGTGGTAATGTCAAAAGCATGCTACTTACTAGCTTGCAGGGCTGCATTAGCTCGGTACGATTGGTATCGATTGTCGGAGGATGATTTGGATGGGTCGATAGTTGTTACTTGGGCCCTGGCACTACCTCGGGCTCGATTATTCTCATTGTTTAATTTTAGTGTACGTTGTGATCTCGAGCCCGAGGCTGCTGCCTCATTGCCTGATGATACTGAGCTGGAGACTGTTGTATTGGCATCGACACTGTGTTGTGTCGTATTCTTACCGGGGACTTTGGTAACATTAGCAGAAGTAGGTTTCGCGTGATGATGAAGAGGACGATTGGGGGAAGCAGTGGTCGCGAGGAAGGCTAAAACATATATCGTACATTGATGAAAATGATGTGGATATCCCCCACGCGCTCTGGGATTTCCACTAGCATTCGCCTCTGCACTTTATTTATCTTTTCTAATTTACTAGCCAAGGTGCTTGGGTTTTTTTTTGCTTTTGTACTCATCTCGTGGACTCTCGTGATCGATAGTGCTGGTTCGGATTAATGCGTGGGGTTCTATATTGCATGATCGCGAGGGTATGGGGTTCGTGGAGATGTTGTAATGACGATGCTTGATGCAATTGTCCAGGGATTTGTACCTGGGAAATACTGCGAGATGACCTTTTTACCATGACCGATGATAGGGGACGAGTACAAAGTACAGGGCTTTCATGTCTGTAAAATTTTTACTCTTTCTTAGGGAAGACATCGTGTTCCTCAATTGGAAATGGATGCTGTTGCAATCTCCGTTAGAATGTGATGGAATAAAAATGCCTGGGCAATTTGGCAATTTGATGGATGATGAGAATGAAAAATGTCATCTAGATGCATCTGATAACTACTTTGCAATTATTTTCATTAGGAATTGTGAAAACTACAGGACATCTATACAAATGAATCCACTGGCAATTTTGTTGACGAAAAATCATTAGGTTTAATCAGTAATGATTAATGTCAGAGCAAAATAATAATACGATGCAGCCTTTTGAATTGTTTTTTTTTTTTGTACGTGACGGACAAAGGATTGACGTACGTTTACGGCGTGACCTTGGCGAGGGTTTCTTGTGGAGTTGCGTGGGCCCAGGGCCAGAAGGCGGTGGTGGTAAAGGCGGTATGGGTGGCTCGCTCGTCGATGATTTCACCGGGGTTTGCGAGGATTCTCTTATGCTCCAACGAACTCGCCCGCCCACCGCTGAAACACCCGCTTCATTCCGCTAATCATTCTAATCCTTTTCACGTGTCACGCTCGATCGATACGGGTTTTCGTTATTTCTTTTGTTTCATTATCGGCCTGTTTTAGGTGAATCGTTGATTGTTGCAGAAACGAGTGCAACTGTCACTGCACATTAATGAATCCCGAAAAAAAATCCTTTTTTGGCTTTTTTGTTCCTACGAAAGACTACAATTTGACAAATATCAAATTGTCCAACTGGATTTACAAAGATCATTTGACATATTCTATTTTCAGTTGTCATCGTCAATTGATCATGATAAATCTCAATGGAGCTATTTTTCTGTGAAAATTTCTGAAAATGATATTCATTGCAGGAACTTGGATATTGCTAATTGCATATCTTGTTTATGATTTTTCAGAGTATGACGCAGGCTGTGTATAATTTTGTGTCATTCTGTCTGTCAACGTTTGAGTGATGTGTTTTAGATTCAAGAAATTTCAGAGAGGACGACGCAATGGACCAGACGAGAGACAACAATTCCCGGTAATTAACCCTTTTCAACGATAAAATTCGTTTAATGAAGAATCGCAATGAATGAGAGGATAAATATCAATGCAGATTACAGAGATATAGAGACAATACATAAATGACTATCATGCAAATTCTCTCTGGACAGTTAAACGAATGGTTTTGTACCGCTAAAACAAAAGGGGTAAACAATCTGGACTGAGAGACGAGGGTTAGGGTGGGGTGAGGGGTTGAAACGAGCAGCAGTCCAAATTTCCAATAATAATACACGTTGCACGAGAATGCAAGTTATGTATCGTACTTCTATCGTGTGTATCTTTTCTTGTTTTTTAAAATCTTCATCAATTGGTGGATTATACTTTTCTTTCATGTAGAATAGTTTGCGACGATCGATCGAGGCACGACATTTTTCGATATATATATGTTGGGCTAAGTGGGTAGAGTTCGACGTTGGAGCCAAAAAACCAAATTGGCAATTGGCTGCAATGTCAAGTCGTTTCTCTTTACTTACTCGGACGGGGATGCCTCTCTGGCTCTCCACTCCTGTCCTTCCCCTCTTTATCTTTATGCTCCTTCTCTTTCTCCTAGAAGTTTTAAAAATTACGGTAGAGTCATTATTGCAGGGATGAGACTGAGGAGCATTCAGGTCTCCATAATATTTCATAAAAACAAGCATTTCCATTGCGGATTCGTTACTCTTTATCCTTCTCATGATGTGATAATTTTCAAGTGTCTTGAATGGATTCATTTAGTGGGTGCCGGTTATGCTATTCGAATTAAACAAATTATTTCAAGTTGAATGCATGTTTTTTTAATTACATGGAATTTTTTCTGATGCAAGTTAGTAGTAATTGAAAAGTTAATATTCAAAGGAGCTGTTTTAATGACTGAACATTAATGCGAGTCATATCGATGTTCCATTAACGTTCTCCGAATATTATTTCATTTGTAACAGTTGGTGATTTCGAAGTGGCAATTAGTTATGAGTATTTCAATTAGCAATTCAAATAGTATTCTCTCCAGGGGTGGGAAGAATGAATGGAATTTCCTACCTTGGCATCTTTGCTGACTGATGGTGCTCGTGGAGTCTGACGTTTTGGTGACCTACTGATGGGTCCAAGACTCTGCGAGCGCCCAGTCCGCGGGCTATTCTTGGGGCTTGATTTTGTTCTCGGTTGAATTTCATCCTTAGCCTCGTCACGACGACGGGGTGCCACTGGCTCAAGCTTCTCCCTCGTTGGAGAAGGTAACAGTGCACCGTCACCTGGATTTTAATGATTACATTGACATTAAACTCCTGAGAGTTTCCTGATGGCATTTTTCTTATTCGAATTTCTCGTTTGTAGAGAGTGCTCAATACTCTCCACTATTTTTAATGAACTCACCAACACCTGTAGTACGGTCCAGATGATGACGGATCAAGAAATCCTTTCTTGCGCGAGCCATAGCTCTCTCATTATCCTGAAACGCATAACTAAGTCAATTACACCTGCATGTTTTAATTGGAGAACTTGTCCCTTCGGGAACTTAAGCATATATTGCATATTCTTCTATGGGGAAAAGACAACAGAGACGAGTTTTAAATCACCAGTTGAATTAACATCCCTCCAGAAATTCACCTGTTCACCCTAGTTTAAAAAATTGTGATTTCATTGACTGTAATTGCGTACCGCTTCTTGGAGAATTCCAGAAATAGGTCTAGCTTGAACGGAGGAGGGTCTACCAGCTGGTGGCATTGTGTTCATAACTGGTGCAACCTTTCTCGTGTTCTCCTTCTCCTTCTCCTCCTTCGTTACCGACCTGTGAGAGAGCAATGAAAATAATCAACTGAGGTTTGCTGTGGAAATAAATGACAGCATAACGAAGAGGCAAACGACGAGGGACCGAACAGAACAGAACAACTACGACAGAACCCCAGGTGAAGATGCAGAATTATTTTTTTTTTCTCTTTGTGAGACACTTTACTGAAACCTGGTACATTGGTGGATTGCAGGGGACGATTTGTGTGAGTGTGTTTCGTAATGCAATTGCAGTGGTGTTTGCGTTTTTTGAGAGTGGACAGGAACGAGTGAGCAACATCGAGAATTCGTTTATGTCTACTGGCCTGCCAAGTGATAGAGCGTTGAGTACGTGATTATTCGAGACGTGTTTCCAGACCGATGACACTTCCCCTGACGCCAGACCGCCACCCCAGTCGCGGTGCTGATGAATCAGATAAATCATTTCAATGAGTTGATTGCATGTGATGATTCTACTACTCATTGAGGGTTGCGTAATGCGCCTGAGTATTACACGCATATAATAATTGAATAGATAAATCTTGTTCTTACAATATTTTGATTTATAGTTTTTTTTTTCTTAATTTATTGACCGATTTTCGGTGAACATGGGTTATTGTAGATTTGATTTCATTTTTTAGGCGTTATTTTTTTTAGAGAAATGAGTAATGAGAAAATCTAATGGACATGATCTCCCCAAAAAAAAATCTGTTACCTTATACTCATCAGCAAGACGTCTGAGCTCGACAATCTCGGACGTTGGAAACGCATTTGTCACTGTTGACGGAGCTTTATCACTTTTTTTCGTTACACGATCATCTATAATCTTCACTCCCTTACTCGCTGATTTTCTTTCTCTGCAAATTACAATTTCGAATTTGCCTTTTTAAACCAAGGTATTCCCGATGGAAATTCAGTCGGGCTCTGTCGCAGTTGATCTTCGCAAAATGGTACTCACGAGAAGAAAAATTCTCCTAATTAAAAAATACGAAATGAAAAATAGTCAATGCATGTCTGACCTGAAGGATATCTTGAAATCGGTTAAATCCTCATCTTTCTCGTCGACGTCAGGCATGACACCATCAATATGATCAGCATTATTACCGAATAGTGGCTCGAGTTCGGACGCTTGGATTCCTAATTGAAATAAACAAAAAAATAACAGAAGCAATGAAAGATACTTCATAAAAATTAATGGGGGTAGAGCTTCCATTGAGATATACCATGGGATGAATTTTCTAGAAATGCCATACGTATGAAATTTCAAGTGAATACATAATAAATTGAAAACAATCAAGCTCCAGTGGAGCGTAGAACGAGAAAAGAATGACAATGTCGATATGAATTTATTAGTGACCAACAAAATAGTAATCCAATAAAGCTATATATCGTTCACGTGTAAGTATCAGGGCATTGACAAATTGAGAAGCCCCAGAAGATCGAGTGTAGCATAAAAGAAGAAAGAAACTAATGGAGTACAAGTGAGAATACCATCACGCTTGTGATCCACATCGCCTGGTCTCTTTCTCATGTGGACTGGAGCTGGTTCAGTTGGTGCGATACCCTGTTTAAGGGTGCCCATGCTCATGGATTTGCGTGGACCACCTGGTAGACCACCAGCACCACCGGCAGCCGGTATTGGCGCCACAGTCTCACCATTTGTCAGCTGGGCTCGCCTTGGCCAGGCAAACTGCAATCGATACTCGGTGCTTATCCGTGAAATCGCTTTGCTCAGCTGACTCGGTGGTAGAGCTGAACTTCCCGTCACTTCCTGTTATCAGAAATGGAATCATTGAGAACAAAGGTTGGCTCCAATTCGTGTCGATGGGCCTTTGATCCTACAAATTGATGGCCCATAGTCGGTTTAGCTACTTGACACATGAATTTCGCACTTTCAGGTGAATTGGTGGAGAAAAAGATTATTGAAAATGCTTCATTGATTTTCAGGTGAAACTCTCGAGAACATTGGATGGAACTCGGATATGGTGGGGTGTAAATATATTTTTATATCTGTAGGGAGGAATTACGTTCATTATTTCTGAAATTACCACCCCTCGACGAGCCTTTCTTCATTGTCAAAGAGTAAAGCATTGTTCAGCCCGGAGATGGAGTGTTACTTAGAATTTGAAATGCAGATTCGTGGAGTTTCTAGAATGATCCCTTCAACATTGTTTCCAAAATAAACAATTTCATGGGTGAATAAAAGAGGGAAGAGGTGGATGTTTTATGCATTCTGAGAGATGCACATGCAAGTCCATGTTCCAGTGAATCCTCTAAATTCCAATTTCGTAAATTATTCCAATTGATATTCTCATCTCTTCGGGAAGTGGAGACGATAAAAATTATAAAGAAGGCGACATGGGTTCTTACAGATAAAACAGAGAAAAGGTATTTAATCGAAAATGGTGTAAAAAATCTCTAACTTAGAGCTCTAGCTGCACGTAAATTCGGAAGAAATGTAAATTCTCAGGTAGAAAATAATTGGCGTTTATCAGCAATCGTGTCTTGGGCCTGAAGGATGCCTGATACATGCATGCATCGTAATGATCAAACAGTCTTGTCTTCCGGTCAATGTTTCCCTCGTTAGATTTGAAAAATATTGATTAATTGACAGCTAATTAGAAAATAATGGAAAATAAATGGAGGAACTATTTAATTCAGGTTTGGCAGTGGAGGTTTCAAATTTAGTAGACTACGCAGTAAAAACATTTTCCAAATTTATTCAGTCTTCTTTCATTATGCCTGACACATCAAGGACCTCGACGATTTACTCTCTCGTCCGAGGGAGTAGAACAATGAACAATATCTCGAGATTTAAAATTCAGATTTACACGAGTATTCACGCATAATCCCTCGAGCATTGTGTTTTTACAGCGAAACACTTCACGGTTGAATTAAGAGTACGAATAAACCATTCAACGGCTTTATGAATTAAATGTGAGCTTACTGATGAAACTTACTCGCACTTTATCAGCAACAACATTGGTATCAACAGCATCGATGCCACCTCCATCAGCGGCAGTGATGAACTCATGATGCCTGTAAGCCAATTCTGGATTCTTCTTCCTCCTCGGCAATGGTGGCTCCAGTGTTGGTCCTGCAATAAAAACCAATTCAGATTAAGTAACAAGAGCCCTCAAAGGGTAGAATTTCAGACTGGAAATGCCCAAATGTTAGCTGGTTGAGGCCAGTAAGAGGAGCAGAATTAGCATAGTAACGCAGCAGTTGAGGCTGCATGTTTCTGGATTCCCTCGATTTCAAGCAAAATGGATAACGATTTCGATCCCTCCAGTCAATTCCCTTCATTCTCCTCCCCAGTTATCCCCCAACCCCACCAAGTAACCCCAGCATATATGTATTACTCCACCTCGCCGATATTTTCTCATTGACCTCTTTTAATCATTTCCAGGAAAATAGGGTAAAAAAGGTAATATTAGAATTATAGAAGACTCGAGGGATCGATGATATCGTCTCGACCTCGGTCAAGCCTAACTCCCATCCATACACCCACCCGTTCAACATTGACGAATCGAAATTATTAACAACGGCACTCGCTATTGTCTTATGTCATACCTACACTACAAATACAAAAATACTGAATGTCAGCCGTAGGAGCGACGAGTCACCACCAGCATTACTTTCTATTCACTCTGGCATAAACCATGGAATTTGTTTTTTTTTTAACGAATATAGATAACTCTGGCGTTGAAATAAAAAGGTGTCAATTTTTCAATTTCTCGTCACTCCTTATTTTAAAATATGGAGATCTAAGCGCATGCAACTGGCTTTACTAAAACTTTCAGCTGACATCTGAGATGCACGTCAGCTTCTGCTGGAAGAGAAGGGACCAAGGAGTTTGGAAGATGTTTAGGCAGACGGATGGGGTAGATTTCTCGGTGAGACCACAGAAAGAAGTAGAATTTAGGAATAAATTTTTCTTTAACGCATCCATTTTTATGATTTTACCACAAATATCTATGACGTGACCAATTTGTTGATTTTTTGTTGGACGCTGTTACCGGTCTGTTCCATTTTCAGGGAACGTGGCCGGAAAATAAGAATGATGCTATCGATTTCGGGGAAGTAGAATTTAAACTGCGCTTGGCATGCGACTCTAGCTTCACTCCTTGAAAAAGTCACGCAACAAAGTGGACATAAGAATGCGCACGTTATGATAAAAAAAATGGAGAGTGCGAGAAATGGAGAGTATGGGTGGAGTTGGAGTGATTAAAGAGCTTTCGTGAAGTCCTGACGTGTCTCCCTGATGCTGAAGTATTTTCACTTGTTCAACCAAAGGCTCAATACTAATAAGCTAATTTCAAACGGCAAATTTTCAGCATTAACACAGGCATCTAAATACGTGTACATTAGTTATTTCTTACGACTCATTTTCTTACGTTCGTGATCGTAATTATGTACATTTATATAAGAGATTAATCAAGATATGTGTGATTGAAAATCAAGAGGGGAGAACAATATTGAGTTAATGTAGTTAAATAATATGTAATTTAAAAAATAGAACATATCATAAAGAGGCTTGGTTTGCGTAGCACCGATCGTAACGTCTCTTCTTACCTTCGGTATTATCATCCTCAGTTGACTTGGCCGATTGTAGCTTCGCGCTCGGTTGCTTCGCTGCAATCAAAATTCGCAGCTGGCACGATTTCGACTCTTGCAAAGTTTTTTCTCAATATTTTTCTTTCTTTTTTCCCTCACTCCGATTATTGACAGGCAGTCAAAAATATTTCAAAAGGACTGATACACAAATTACGCTCTTTCCAATTTCCATTGGAATATTTATCGATAATTGGGGTTCAACCAAATTTGAGGTGGGACTTTCTTACTCTAAAACATCACACGTTCAATGGCTAATTGAACATTCACGGATTACTGATAATTCAGCACTAGATTTGAGACTCAAACTCACACTTTAGTATACGTTAACATCAACAAAATCCTAAATATTCGAATATCGTTTATTTCGTTATTATATGAGGACAGTAAGAATCCCGGCATTCTCAGAAATATTTATCTTGAAATTGGGAGATATTATAGATGAATGGAAAAATAATAGAGTACCGATTTAAACGAAAGGTGATACTCAGAATAATTCGATTGAGCATCAGTGCACAAACAAAAACCAAAAAAATTCTCGGGATATCCAGCGCATTTAATAGTGACATCAATGAACTGAAATTCTTGAATGAAGGAGATCTGAAATTTGGGGATATGAATGAAATGAATAAATATGTCATGATTTTGGAAATAATTGGATTGAACTTTTTGAATAGGAATAATTGTGTTGGATGAATGGACAGGTGGGAAAAATAGTTTTTGTGTGTGTCTGTGGATGTAAAGAGAAAATTTATGGGATCTGCAGTGATAAGTCAGGGAGAAATGCGCTGGATTCTCCTTGTATTTCCGTGCATGCAGCCAATCGGAATACTTTACGAGGTACAGTATACACGAAAAGAGAGTAACACAGGGGCTTCGAAGTGAGCCCTTTTTAGTCCCCCTTTTGAGGGGGCACATCGGCGATACACGCGATCATGTCGTCACAGAATGTATGCAATCCACGACATCTCCATTTTGCCCTGAAAATTCGGCCAACATATCCTCTAAACTCCAGACATTATCTGCCACAGCCCATCTCCCTCCCTTTGTCAAGCATTCAAAAATACTTCCTCCTCAAATGACAACGGTGTTTTTTACTAAAAAAAATAGAAGATACACAGAGAACAACATCGAAACTCGAAGGAGCAGTGATGATTAGATTACGAGTGATTTAATTCTGCAATCAAGGAGGAAAAAGATAAGTTTATGCAAATTGAATTGAAGATTACAGTAATGGAGTTTCAATACGAAAAAAAGAATTGGAAGATTCATTGTCACAAGAAGTTATTTGTAATAAAAAATTGGAAATTGTAAATTACTGAGTGTTACTCGTCTTCTTACTTCAATCAATTACAGAATTGATGCACAGAGAGAAAAATTATATTCAAGTTAAGAAATTTATGGAAAATTATATTCTTATTCTCCTTCCCGATTTCTTCTCGTCTGCTTGGTAATTTTTAATGAATATTTCTCTCCGTGCGTATGGAAATTGTTATATGATAAAACGATGGAAATTATTGAGGGGTTCATAACTCATGTCAACTCTCGCGGCTAGACTTCATTCAGAATTTAACGATAATATTACTATTAGGATATGTGGTGGATGAGAAGAATCATTAATTCTTGTATTCATCGGGAGAACTTCCGGTTCTTATTATTTACGAGCGACTGCAAAATAAATTATAGCTCCACTGAAATTTGGAGACGGATCATAATAGAAAATTCTAAATTTGATGAAAAAATCAAATGAAATTGTCCATGGAATTTTTATTTGTTTTCTGTATAAAGAACCCCCGGGATTTCTTGAAGATGGGTAAATTGAATCCATTTTACTACCCAAGGTAATCACTTTTTATGGCATTCTCTCCACGTGCAATTATGATAGAAGAAGTTCAAGTAAAAATAAACGTGGATAAATAAACCTTTCCTCATATTTTATCATTTTTCCCCTTGACACATGCCTACATAATTCTCGTACATTGGTCCCATCAAAATGTTGACTTTACTATAAAATAGAATAATTAATCGAGTGGTGGGTACGATGGCACAAAACGTATTAATTAATAACGAGATTATAGTCGTAATTAAACCGGACTTTTCCCCAGAGTTATGAACCCCTCATAACGAACGAAAACTGAAAAGTGCGAATTACGACATGATCTCATGAAACTGATAAATTAAATGAAAAAAATCATCACACGTGTAGACGTTCACGAGGTGTAGGCACGACCAAGAATAAAACCACTATTAACACTCCTAAAACCAAAAGAAACCAACTATCTCTCATTAATCGTTAATCGTGTTGTTCATTAGTAAAACAAGAATGAAGAAAAAGTCGTAAGAACGTTCTGAGTAAACTAGATAAAAGGAATGGATTGTGCTCGTCGATCGATGCGAACAATCCGTGCTTTAAGATTACAAGAGGATAGAAAAAAAAGTACAGAAAAAAAAAAAGAAAAAATGGCAAGTCGAATCAAACCAGACAAAAGAGTAACCGGAGTTGTGTTTGAGATCGAGTATAAAAGAAGATTGTGGCATCGACCGACAATGCTCATGGGAACTTTTGATGACAATTGCCAGGATATTATATATTTTTACCCACATTTTCGTCCAGTCGACTCTATATTTCATTATTTATCCTTTGCTCAGTGTTTTATCTTTTTTTCCCTTTCTCTCTTTCATTCTACTGTTTTCTCGAAGGAGTGAAATCAAAAATAGGGTACAGAGAGGTATTTCAGGAGAAACTTACTGGAGGTCGGCTGAGCCTGGGGCGCCCGACGTACAATCGTGTGCTCCTGATGAGGTCCTGTGTACTCGTGCCATGTGTAAGTGCTCCTGTACTCTGAGTGGAGCTGCTGAAACACAAGAGAAAACCCCACAATCATTACACTTTTATACCCCAGACAAGTCTTCACAAAACTCTTTTTTATTTTTCCGTTCTCCCCTTTTTATTCCCCATTTACTCTCTCAGTATCTTTTTTTCCTCATTTCTTTTCCTATTTCTTTACATTTTTTCGCTTTTTTACGAATATCTCAGCCGGAAGTCGAAGCTCAAAAGGGGCATTCTCGCTTATCTTTGTTGTTTGCTTTATGAGGGAGAGGGAGTCATTAGTGAGGTCGAGAGTGAAAAGGAAAAGTGAGATTTGGATTATCCCTTTTCCAAAATTCCAGGTGCTACAATGATTTTTTAAATAATATCCAGCATACAGCAAATAAAAGCAAAAAGAGATTTCAAGCCGTCATATGATGATTATTAGTGAGTAAAGAATAGTTTTAAATATTTAAGGGGGATGAACCTTTAATTGGTCAATTGGGAGAAGATGTATATGCACGTGTGGTGATTGACTGGTGTCTTGCAAAAATTCCGACACTTTCCCTTTCGTAAACTTCAGAAACTTCATAAATCACTGAGGCCTCACCGATTAAAACTGCATAAATGAGGTGCAGTCTGTCCAGAGTTTTGGTCAACTAGACTCTGGGCTTTCATCCTGAGACATACCGTTAACATTCTTCCTGTCCACTGGAGCAAACTTCCTTTTGCCACAGAGTCAGGCCATTTCACCGTAAATAATGCTCAATGTTTACAAGATAAGAGATTGCAAAAGTTAGTCTTACAAGTGCGCTGGGTATAAATAGAATAGTAGAGGTAACTGTGCCCATTTATTTCGTGCTGGTGCTGGGGTAAATCAATGTGGATAAGACTAATCAATTAAGGGGGAGGGAAATTTAAATGTTCCCTCAATCATTATAACATATCATTATAAATACACTAAATACATTGTTGTCTCGAACAAATTTTCTTATATATATTGTATATATATATATGATAATAAAAGTAGAAAAATGTATACATATTTTTTTTAATAAAAAAATTATTTAAAAATAAAAAAAAATATTTTCACTTTTTTAAATAAAAAAAAATGAAATAAAAAAATAATTAAAAATTTTCCTAACAATTTTCGTTACACCTGGATTTTTTTAGAAAGGATTGCGGGGAATAATAATAATGTTAGTCAATAAATCGACAATAAAATTATCCCCAGGAGGTGCAATCCTATTATGAAGGATTTCCTAGGAGGTTCTCCGATTGGCCGACATCACCAACTCACTCGAGAGAAGTGTGAGACCGCAGGCTAGATCTTTTGTGCCCCACAATCGTCTAGGCGACTAGTCGATGAATATCCATCGACTGGGGGACGTTACACTTGTAGGTGGATAAAAAATCAATAAAAAAAGAAAAAGAAGAGGCGGAATAGTGAAGAAGCCCGAGGCCGTGTCATTGTCATGATAGTACCAACAATGAAAGCAACACCCGCCTCATTTTATTCTCATCTACTTTAGCATGTTTGCCGCAGTGAAATCGATGGTCCATTCAACATCGAACAATGAGATGCATCGGTAATGGTTAACAGGTACCTAGTCACCCGACTGAATTTTCCGGGTGAGAAAGAAAATTTACAAATCGACGAATTGAATGGGAGGAATTGCCAGGGATTTGGGATGAGACAGGCTGAAGCGGAATCGAGAGCAGATGAAGCCAATTCCGTCAAGAAATTCACGGAAGCCAGATAGCGTCGATGATCTTCCTGTGATCCATCTCATTTCCGGGTATTTTCATCACGTGAATATGCTAAGCCTAAATTCCCACCCAGAAATCCTTCGGGCTGAGAAAAAGTTCTTTTAATTCTTGTGAAAAAGTTCTTATAATTTTTTTTTATTGTCATTCCCATAGAATTCTATTGGATGGTTCGATTTCGATGGGCTCCAGTGGGTACTAGATGTCGTGGAATATCCAATAGATATTTCCATCTCCCAATATTAAGAGCACTGTGCAATGTAGGCTGCTATCTCGGTACATCAAGATACCATCAGGTATTTGCCTATGATGTAAGGTTCGATGAAAGTGCCACTGCCTTCAGGGGATTATCGAGGACCACCGAAGCTTCAATAATATCCATGAAAATCTTCATCTCAATCCTTTGCTCTTTCATTTTGAGGAAATATTTGATTAAATTCATTGAATCACTAGCGAGGACTAGTCCTAGTTACTCGAATTACTTAACTGTCCGGCTTTAACGTGTCGCTGGAGTTTTTGTGATTGTTTGAATGGATTTGAAAGTCCTGGGTGAATACAAAAATGGGATTCCGAGAGTTTGCCGATGGAGTTGTAATTTTTGTAGAGAGTTGGAGAGAGTCAATGGAAAATTCGATTAGCACACGCTGATTAAGCCATATCTGGGAATGAACTGGTAGAGTGTGACGCTGAGAATCAGCTGATAACGCGATTTCATAAATCGATTCTAGCTGGGAGTTTAACGCTCGTTGGAGCATATTCCGGGGCTCAAATTATCGGGTGTTATTCGTCATGGCGAATGGAGTTGGGCTGATTGTACGAGATTTTTTTGAATTTTCGGCGCCGGCTGTTGGTGATAACAACTGCGGGCTACCCTAATATCATTCTCATCAATCAGACACTGAGGGCTGGTATTTCATCGGATTATTTCTGTTGGACAGTCAATGTCACTGAATAATCTCCAACTGCCATTACTCACAGCATGATCCATTGTTATTGTGATAGATTCAGATTTCCCAGACGAGAAATTCCTGGAAAAATCAGTTTTCGAGAGAACACGATGGATTGGATGGAGACGAACGTTAATTGATTGAAAACATTCTGCTCGGAGGAAAATCACCGGAATATTCCTCAAATATTCAATGACTTATCTGAGAGAAAGTTTCGGATGCTTTAGAGCAATTGAATGAATTTAATTTAATTTAATTTGTAATTCCGTAGCGACGGACCGGTTATAAGCGGTTTATACCCTCCAGTGTTTTACCTTCTGACCAGGAGCGACTGTTAGAAAAAAATATTAAACTTCATGGGCTGTTGACTAATTTTCAGGACAGGAACACTAAATCCTATTTAGGAAGAAAAATCGTGGGAGTTGAGTTTCACAGAAATAGCTTTTCTATTGATTTTAAGGAAAAAATTAAATATAAATTTACAGTTTTTAGCAATTGTAGATATGACTGAGATATTGAAAACGAAATGAAACTTATTTTGAAAAAAAAATAGTGGGAGAACCTCTCAAATATTGTGTCCTTGCTCTCATAGTTTTGGCGTTCCTCTTGAAAAAGATGAGTAGGATACGTTTCATGCCGAAAATATCTGCAGTGACATATGTCTGGAGACTCATCGAGGTCATCCCAACAAATATTTGCTCTTATCCTGGTGCACTCAGCATCATACCAGAGGCATGTACGTATTACCTCTTTTTATACTCTTCTCCAGAGCGTTGAGAACACACGAGAATAAAATTTGACAACCCATTCCACGTATGGGTCATCTAAAAGAGATCGAACCACCCTTTCACCGGATGTCTGATGAAATGTCGAGAAGAGTTTTACTACAGAGTTACACTGTCCGAGTTTATTCGAAAACTATAAAACTGGTGTTCCCTAATTCAAGGGCGGTAGAAAAAAGAGCTGCAAATCGTTCCAGGTATCTCATCAGGATGAATTTAATAAACTATGGTAGCAATTTGCAAGTTCAAAGGATAAAATGGAGAGAAGTTCAAAGTGGACGATCACTGCAGCTCAAGGAAATAAAATTAGACAAAATATGATAAATAAAAATGCAAACTTCAAACTTGCAGATTTCTATTTGCATTTGCATCGTAAATCCCAAGAGTTTGTTTCCAGTTTAACCAATAAATGGAGATCCATAGCGGATGAAGATGCGATTTCTTAACTTTTCTAAAGACGCGGGTGAGAGTTTATTCATGAGAAGATGATAGTGAAAATGAAACAATGTTAAATGACTTATGCATATGAACAATAGTGGCATAACACCAGCTGAATGGGATACACATGATATGTTGAGGACCCATTCACACTGCCAAGTTAAATCGACTGCGAGTTTATGAAATGTGACTATAAATAAAATTACTCGTCGTATGCTCGATAAAAATACGAAATGGATTTTTGCACAGCGGGGTCAATGGATTATTACCCGAGGTAGAAATAACGACGCGGCACATTAAAGGCATTTAATTTACTTTTATTCTCGCGTCGCAATTAGGTCTCTGTATGGAGAAATAAATGAGAATTTTCCCATGCGTATGCTAACAAAAAAGTTTTGCAACCAAATTAGAAAGGAGGTTTGCCATTACTCCTCATTTATAATTGCAAATGTTGCACACAAAAATGATAATTTCAACGTATCAATTATTCTCCATTATTATTGATTTATGAAATGTCTTTAAATATTAAAAATAACATCCACCGAATTGCTGTCACTTTAATGAAGTTTTAAAATTAAAAAAAACTACGATTTTAAGCTGGTAATTTGTCTGGGAGTAATTCTCCAAGTAAATATTTTAATCCAGCGAATGGATAATTAGTTCCGATAAAAACTGGCAGCTGTTGGTCTAGTCGAAGAGGTGGATATTAATTAATAATTTGTTAAATAATAATTTTCATGTTATTCAGACAAATAATTTATTGAAACTATAAATAGTATTAAAAGTCATGAGTAAAGTATAAGTAATGAGACAGTTGTCATTATTCATTTTTTATCTCTTATTTTTAATGATCTCGGTGGAAAATTTTAAGCTGCTAATTTGTCTGGAGGTAATTCTCCAAGTAAATATTTTAATCCAGCGAATGAATAATTAGTTCCGATAAAAACTGGCAGCTGTTGGTCTAGCCGAAGAGGTGAACGGTTATTTGAAAGAAAAGCCGGATGGCAAAAGTAGGAAGAGGTGGATATTAATCAGTGAGCTGTACGAAGTGAGAAGATCAATTGACGAGGGGAGGCAAGAGGTGGGGAGGATACCGGAAATTCCTCAGCATGCCAGAGTACGAGGGAGAGGTTGAAACCTGTTGGTCTCTTGCTCGAGCCAAAGGTAAATTTGTCCATGGTGTCATCTCTCATATTGAAGCCAAAGCTTATGAGCAGAGAGGACAAAAAGATGAATGAGAAAGTATATCAATTCGAAGGAACCCTGAAGGCATAAGACCTCAGTGCGCAATTTCAATCATCAATTTATTTCGAGAGTTGAATAGAGAACAAACCCACATTTTCACCTTTAACACCAAAAATTCCAGGTGACCACAAATATATTCAAGGCTATCAGAAATTAATTGAAATTTCAGTCACAAACTCATCAGAATTTTCACCAGAAAATTGGGGTTTTCATCTTAAATGATTATCAATTTTTGAATGAAAGCTTTCAATCGAGGGAAAACAAAGGGGAAATTGTTCGCTGAATTTTTGAGATTTGAATTGATTTATAGTTTTGTTTCACTCATCAATGTCAAAAAAAAGTGTGTACATGGGAATTCACGTGAACGACGTGAAAAGCCGTCGAGGAGTGATATACTATTCATATGAAGGATTATTTTTATCGTCAATGTTCAGAATGTAGAGAATTTTCACTCATCCGACTCGTTCACGACAAATCCACGAACTCTATCACTGCAGTGAAAATCTTTCTGAATGAATAGAACAAATTTTGTGACGAACTAAACTGTTGTGCTTAAATTAAAAAGGCGCACACAAATCTTTAGACCGACTCTGGGGCTTTGACGGACTTTTTATAATTGAGGAATTATTTTTAAACAATGAGTTCTTCTTTTTTATAGAATTTTATACTGATGAAAAGCAAGAAGACTCTAAATTTCATGGCATCCATTTATTTTAGTATTTTTCTTGAGCAAGAAAAACTATACTCATTCCCGAAAGCTACGGAAATTGAGAAGTTTCGTTGGCTGATGTTGAGTGTATAAAACTCAGTGTAATAAAGTATTAAGTCCGAGTTAATTCTCGCTGTTTCGCAAAAAAGTAGGGATTGAGTGAAACAAATTGGATGTGTATTGATTCAAGTTCGATGAGAAAACAGAGGAATTAGCTGGGAAAACTTCTCGAGATATTTCACGAGGAGATGAATGAGTTAAGCATTGGATTGACTTGGGCGGATAGGGAATGCTTACCTTGAGTTGATGAGGAATTGGAAAAGCAGCGGAGGAAAGCCCTACGAAATTACTTGAGAAGTTTTGTTCGGAAAACTTGATGATTGGGAGAAGAGGCACAACGAGGCAGACGAATTGTTTGTATAATTACGCAAATTAGGGGACAAAATAAATAGAAGCATTTATGATATCCGCATTGAATCGCGGTGTGCTCTGAAACCATATCAAAAGTTTGCAGATTAAAAAAAAAGTACAAATTTTAATAAGAATTGAAATTTTTAATAAGAATGAAATTAAAAAAAAAACTAACAGTTTTCTGAATATTCATAATTTCTCTAGTCTCATCTTCACAGAAAATTGCACGGCAAATTTTTTGTTAATTAATAATTTGTTAAATAATAATTTTCATGTTATTCAGAAAAATAATTCATTGAAACTATAAATAGTATTAAAAGTTATGAGTATAAGTAATGAGACAATTGTCATTAGTCATTTTTTATCTCTCATTTTTAATGATCTCGGTGGAAAATCTCCAACCATGATTTATCATATAAATTCACAATCGACATAGACATTTTATATAACAATTTGTGTGACGGGGTATTACTGGAGAATTGAAAAATTTTCGCGGTTGCAAAGGAGAAAAATTTGAAAAACCTGTTGGCACTCTAGACGCCGCATAGTCAGCCGCAGCGATCCGCAGCGTAATAAGCCTGAGGGGCCTGAGCCCTCAATTCATCTATTCAATACACTTCTAGGCTGCACTGAATTTCTATTTCACTACTCCCTATCGCTGCTAAAATGTCACTTTTACGAAATTCAACTTGAAGCAGCACTTGAAGTTTCAAGTGTAATTGACAGCGCGAAAACTGCAATTAATGCACATGAACAATTTTTTTTATTCTCTGATTATTTTTGAACGCGTGATGGCGTACTAATGACGACTGCACGTCTACTGACGTCTATTTGCTGTCTAGTTTGTCCTCTGTAGATGCCAACGGGTAGGAGACTACAGGAGCCATTGAACCACGCGGCCAACCGAAACCATTACACCTTCTCCAACTCGGCACGTTCCACTTACTCCTCGACTTATTGCCTTTTATAAACTTTTATAGAAATTCATGTAAATTTTCAATCAAATTATCATCTGGATTTTCAAAAAAATTTTCATTTGAAAATAAATGCGGTGTTAGAATATTCACATTTTCAAAATTCTCTTCACTCACCCTTCCAAAATTCACATTTTTTTAATCTTTCATTTTTTGGCGAACTTACGATGGAATTGCCGTGCAAAAATATCCGGTTTTTGTGTTTTCTCGTTATTTGGTGTCTCGCGAAGCTTCAAGGTGGTGCGAACCTTTTACTGCATTTTTTTGAAGCTTTTGTGAAAGAATTTTTTTATTTTTTTTTAACTCTTTGGAAAAATCACAAAACTGCAGAAACGCATGCGAATAAACGCATCGTTACGAAATTTCGGAAGTCATTGAACAATGGAAAAACTCAAAAACGTTATATTTTTTCCCATCAATCCGATCGATAATTTGCCAGAAAAATTGAAAAAAAAAAACGTAAGTTTTGTGGAAAAAGGTGCTGCACCTCCTCAAGTACATAAAAGCGTATTTTTCCGGTGCTTCCTATTTAATCGTCAATTACTACTGCTATAATATCTATCTAATCGAAAGTCGATGGTTTCCTCTGATAAGAAGTATCGGGCAGTTATCGAGAGTTTATTAATACACTGCGGGATTATTTCAGCACTCGGAAAATTTATGCAGTCAACTGAGAAATTGCCATCAGAGACGGAAGTTTTATGGTGGAAATTGAATAATGGGATGAAGAAAATCCACGGGAATCCACGATGATAAAGGCACTAGAGCATGAAACGAACAATCTAGGGTATTCCGGGCAACCCTAGATTAGTCATCATCAGGGATTTGTATCCGGACTTTTTTTTACACCCACTGGTCAGAAGAAATAAATGAAAAAAGACTATGTCGACTGAGCCGTTTGAAAAATAACATTTTTTCGGAGCCCTTTCCTCCTAGCTAGAGAAAAAACTTGATATTAATAATTTCAGCGTATGAAATTATAATTTACCACGTATTTCCGTTAAACTCAAGTAAATTATTTCAAGTTTACTCTGAAGGTGAGTTATTTTGAGACTGTCTTTTTTCTCTTTTCATAACGAACTTCTGAAGCAAACCGAACTTCTTGGTAATGCCTCAGGTTGAAATTTCTCGCAATGGTGCATCCTCAAGATGATTCCAGAACTACCAAGAGCTTCATGAAGATGAAAATGAACTCTCATTACCGCATGCTAACAGCCCGAGAGACTGCTGCGACACTTCAGAGAAGATTCATCAAAAAACTAGGAATTTCAAAAAAAGAAAGAAAGAAAAAAGATGAAAGGTGTGGGGTTTCTTCGTCATCGACTTATATTCACCAAGATATGAAGAGATAATTCCAGTAGCTAACACCGAATCAAACAATAAAGATTTACACATGAGTCACACGTCCATCCTAACTTTCTCCCCCCTCGGATGACGTAATCTGGTGGGGGGTGTGAGGTAACAAGTTATCCATACAAATCAGCAAGACCTGTGTATATATGGATCATTGCAGGGCGTTGTGAACCCGCACATTGGAGTCACTTGATCGTAAACCGAAGCCGATAGTCAGCAAGCCAAGAGAGTCAAATGTACCCCCCAAACCACTGCCTCCATCAGCCCTTGCTGATAAGACACCAAATGGTGGCGCGGTGCCGTGCAGTAGTTGAGTTTAATTTAACACGTACGTTAAAACCCCAGCGACTAAACCAACGTGCTATTTTTTCTATTGTCATCGATTTATCGATTTTTCGCTTAAACCGTCGACAGGAGTATGAAAAAAAAAAAATGGTTCTCTGGATGTAAAGGTTGATGACTGGGAACCAGTTGGGCTACCTATTACAGTGTTGTGGTGTTTGAAAAGCTCTCATGTGGAAAAGCTGGATGAAGGCTGTGTGGAAAGACGGAGGAGGTGGCAGTGGTGGTGATAGGGCGTGCGCTTATGCGGTACATACCGACCTGGCAACCGGCTAGCACGCCAATTTACCCGACAAAATTTACGTGCCATGACAAAAATTAATCCCCGCAATCCCCTCCATCCCACCTCCATCCACCTGACAATCTCGTCTTATCACTGAGTGCCTGATGAGTACCTTTTCCCTGAATTATTTTGCCCTGACAGATATCAGATGAAATCCAATCGAAACTTGCGATTAATATGATGAGATGATGGAAGAATCTTCATCCCCCAGAAATCCATCCGGTCCTCCTCGCGGTGAAATCCATCTCTTGGTTCAAGTGAAGCTGAAAATGACGCAATGACCCGAGAAATTCATTCCACCAAATAGCAGATCCGACTGCTGGGGAGCGAATTGGTGGAAGGGCGATGGATAAAAAAAAAAGGTGAAGTATGTTCAAGTGACGTAACCCGTGTGGAGCCCTTCGGCATCTTCTTCGTCCACTTCGTTGGATGAAGCAGCGAATGAGAAGTACGGAAAAATGGCTGAGCCGCACCCACTTCGCCGAAGGTTTTTTCACGTGATTCCAAGAATTACAATAAAAAATTGCAGACAACCGGGAGAATAATCTTGAAACAGCACCGTAGGCTTTTCCCTCAGCGACGAAAAGATCATTTGACCTTTGTAGAGAAAGCCCGGTGATTCACTTGATCAGAGTGAAATTGCTCATAAAAATTCATGCACCAGTGATGTTAACTGGAATTGATCGTTCCAACTGAAGTGATAACGAAATAAATGGGAAATTCTCACCTTATCAATCGGCATTGAAGGGCACGCACGGCACAGGTTCCAGAATGAACCAATCATGAGGCCGAGCTGAATGTGTGGGGCAGTGGAACAGTAGTAAGACGGCCTTTAAGCCGACGGACACCGGTTATGTGATTAGTACTGAGGCCTTCCTAGGGCCAATTCCCTCTTGATTCACCTTTATCAACCTCGTCACCCCAATATTTATTTCCCTTTTAATCCCAACGAAGAAGACACAGTAATGGAGTAATCTCCAATCCACCTCTCTGCGTGCACTCTCCAACAACGTAGACTCCTCTATTGAATTTCTCTGTCAATCAATCACGTCATCAATAAACTCGCTCTTTTAAATTAACTTAAAACACACTTCATTCTCATTTAATTTCCTATTTCAGATTTTCTACTTCACACTGAGTGTCACTCACGATACCCGGCTTACGGCAATTTACGGCAATACGTTACCCTTAATAATAATCTATGTAACTGTAGCTTGCCTTACACAGCCCTTTGACCTGTCAAATTCAGTCATCCGATCAAATCAATGGTGCTTTGTTGTTTTATTACCGATTAGTCATTGATTGAATTGATTAATGGAATAAAATATTGTGGAATTGTGCTTCATCCGTATACGTGGTAAGCACTGCTCGTAACCACTGTGTGCTACCAACGTCGCGACGTGTCGCCGGCAAGGCGCTAGGCAGAGGGTGACAAGCGGGTAAAAACGGTACAACGAGACTGGTATTACGCGCAAGCGCCCTTTTACCGGTCGATAGTCCGCAATGTACTCGGTGAATATATCTCTCTGTCTCACTTCCTCAAATGCTTTAGTAAACCCCCTCAAACCCCCCCTTTTCCATCCACCAGGAGGTTCACCACCCCCTCCATTCTCCCACCCCCCATTCTTCCACCCCGTTTTCCATCACACTTGGGGTATACTCTGGTATTTTCTCTATTCCACGTACGTACATTGCGTCTCAGTTCTTCTTCTCTTTCCCTTCTAGTCGTAATGCCTCACTATCTTTTCTTGCTCTTCTCCGTTTTCCTTTTCTCTTCGGTTACTTTTTCTCGGGGCCTTTTCTTTGTCGACTACGGTTTCAACACAGACCAGACGGAAGGTGTTTAATGCTGATTTTTTTTGGCCACTTGTGTCTCAGATGTTTCGCAGTGTTGGTATTGATTTTTTATTATCAGTAATTCGTATGGGGAGGGAAATTCGGATCAATGGGAACAGGAGATCGTGATTTGGCTAGATTGGATGGTGGACTTCTGGGTTGGCGGGTATTTTTGCGGTAATTAGAAATTGAAGTGAGATATTTCACTCGTCGATCAATGGAGCTTTTCAAAAAAACTGTGACACTTGATTACGTGTCATTCAGGTGAAATTAGAAGTTTGGAATGCCCTCGGAATCTTGGTTTTCAATGTGGAGGGAATAGACAACTTGGTGATAATTTAACGAAGAATTACTAATGATGAACTTGATGAACTTGATGAACCATCAAGAAACGATTAATGAATAATTGACGTGAAATGTTAGTCAAATAGCTCCGCAAATTCTGCCATTCCTTCCTGAGAATAAGAATTCACTCACGATTTTACTGTATCGCGTCGTTTGGTCATAGTCGTTATATCACCGAAGCTTTTCACAGCTTTTCACTTCTCAAAATTACTGAGGTGAAACGAGCCATCACGTTAATTGCCAGTTGAGGAATATTCAGAGTCCGTCCATCATGGTTAGTTTCACTTTTCTCCCTTGGAATCTTCCCCGATTACTGCCGTACCTATTTTCCACGATACGTCTCTTCCCCCGGAATGCTCGCACGGAATGCAGAGAAAAAAAATTATGATAAAAGTAGAAAAAAAATATTCACAAATGAAAGAGAAGAGGAAGTGAGTGCGGGTGGATTGCATGGCACACTGAGTTTTTGTAAATTTTCTCCATTTTTATCATGAATCCCGTGGGTACACACTCCATATCCATGAGGAGAAATGAGAGGGGATGTACTGAGAAAACATAATGGATGGTGGTGGGGGTAGAGAGTAAAGGAATCACTGATAGTAAAATCGGCGCCGTAGCGGCGCGACCCTGGCAGTAACATTCGCGGATTCCAGGGAATGGCCCACTTGTCACAGATCCCACAGTCGATATAGGTCTCCATATTTTCGGATGAATTCCCTATACCGAACTTCCAATCCGGAAGTAACCGATAAGTGCTCAATGCAGCGAATTTATGAGACAGAAATTGAGATCGGGGAGATCGATCGGCCGAGAGGAACGTCAGAAATGTCTGCAACTGTTGGACCATTTCCTTATTCGGCGATAATGACAAAGTCGATCGATCCGATAATGTTAAATTATTTTATAATTATTGTTAATTCATGCAACATTTCTGGGATCGGAACATGTCAATTCCGTTTGCCACTGATGATGATTGGAATTATTTATTGAACGGGTAAAATCGGTAATCGTTTTTTTGCTATTTTTTACTATCAGTTTAATTCGTTTGTAATTCGATTAGAGTGATTAAGATATTTTTGGAAATGAAGGGATCGAACTGTGGACTTATGGTGACGTCAGTCTTCCACTGTGTGAACATGAAAATACCGATTCAATTAAAATGGAGTAAAGACCCTTGCCCCTCGACTCCCTTTGTTCACACAATCATGAATAATTCAGAACTTACACAGAAGGTACATGCGTAATCCACTGGATTCCCGAGTGGAGAACCGTTGGAATAACACAAGTATTTTTTGTCGTTCCAAAGTTTATCGTTGGAAAAATCAGGGTGGAAAACATTGCTGGCTCGTTAGGTGTTTCAGGGAGTCGTAAAATGTTTTGAGAGTGAAGAATGAGAGGAGAAAATGTTGGAAAACATGTCGAGTGAAATGAGCAAATGAAAAATGTTGACTCACTTTGGCATTTTATTTTCTTTTTTTAATTTAGCCGGAACACATGTGTAGTTAAGTGGATAATGCCATTCCCCCTGGACTCCCACCCCTTGAATTTCCCCAATATCTTTTCCAGATTCTTGGAAAGCTGGAATAAATAATGGGATGAAGGGAATGATTCCATCTGAAAATCAATCGGACATGTCCCCAAACTCGGAAAGCACCTCCTTTCATTTCCACTCTCATTGTCGCACTCAAAAATAATCCCATTGTTCAGCAAACCTCATTTTTCATCAGAAATTGTCAGAGGGCATTTAATTAAGCAAAGCCATTATTTTTCACACTATACTTTAAAAAATATAAATTTCGTGTACCTAGTGTCCCAGTTCTTAACGTGAACGTGAAATAACGATACGATATTTTATTATTTAACCAGGGAAATTTATATTATTTTATAAGTCCAGGGAAACAAACCTAAACATATGATTAATTATTCGAAACGCCGAGATGATGACAAAAGTGAATGCGAATGTTCACCCTAAAAATATTTGTAAACCCACAGCAAAAAAATAAACTAAAGGAAAAAAAAAACCGATAGAAAGTAAAAAAAAAAAGAGGGGAAAAGCAATGACGCTTGATGCCTGAGCATAACAAGAGAAGTCAGAGAAGGTGGGGGATAATATGGAAAATTGCTGGAAGGGTGTCGCGCCAGATTTTCATGGAGAAAACGCGACAGCCGAATTGAAAAGACACCTTCACTGACTTTTTGTCCATTGGAGATGGGATGTATAGCTCCAGCTTCCAGCTCCATCCCTTTCTTCGAGACCATTCTCATTTTTTTCTTTCTTTTATTAAAGCACTTTCCCTTACACGGAAGTTCCTTTCGTTCGAATGAAAGCATCCGTGATACTCCTATAGTGATATCTGACACCCTCACGCCCTTTTTCCTCTGTTCTCGGGACTTCATTTTGGACTTGAGTAGATGCCTATTGATTCCACCAGCAGCTCTGGCAAACTGCCTTTTGACTCTTCATCCTTTCGCCTTGAATCTTCCCCATGCAAACTGCCAATTCATTTACTCTGTACTGTTATAATTGCAATTAATAAATATGTGATAGAGTCACAATCAATTCCGCAACGAGAAAAACTCTAATGTAATAAATCAGTGGAGATTCGCGGAAATTCTAACTCGCGATGGAAGAGGGGGAGGGAGAAGAGGAGGGAAGCTAATTAGCTGGTGTTAATAATCTACTGAATAATTACCGTTCATTTTTTGGTTTAGTGATGATCGGCGATTTTGGAATAGGATAAACATGTGGAAAAGTTGTTTGATTGAGGGAAATATCCAACTTTCCGGCTCTTTGGAGGTTAAATATTCCTGAGAGGGTGGATCTTCCAATTAAAATCATCGTCATCCTCCACATCGGTGAACCCATATCATATCACCAGGTGAATTGATTGGGAGGGGAGAGCAATTGCAGGAGGTGAGGGAGAAGTGGTGAAGGATGATGAGCAAGGAAACACTTTAATAACCGACATCGTCATTACCGGGTAACGAGAAGATCGAAATTGATGATCCAATGAGTACAACGCTAAGTCACATGGAAGTGGAAAGTGCACGCGCGTTGTAATTTTTTAATTCTTCACTCTACTGGGATCGCATGTTTGGGGACAGGTCCTCCATTGTTGTAAAAAAATTACTCGACAAAGATTTATGTCATAGGGAAAATAGTCCCAGAAAAAGGACTAGTTTATAATCGTTTTATTTTCATTTTTTAGAACGGTTTAATGTTAGTTGAAATTTAAAGGACTGTGTTCTCTTGTGCTATAAACCTTAACTTTTATTCTTGGTTTTACTAGTCTGAATTTTTGCTTTATGGTTTTAGTCAGTCCCTGGACAACTCTCATGTAATACAGACGTACCTTCCGCGTGCTACTAAAGAATAACTTACCAAGTATTAAACGGCTTCTTAAAAATTATTTATTCACTTGCATATTCCAATATTCCTATTCCATATTCCAAAAAGGATAAACATCGAGACTATATGTATTTCGATATCTCGAAAGTCTGTCACGCTTATTCCTCATCGGTTCAGTCGTCTGAGGCGGCTAATTTGAATTTTGAACTCATTTAAATTAACAATTTTTCATCACAATTTTTTATAATTACAGAGCGGTGTAGCGCGTTCGTTCTCGTAGCTAAAACTTGATAGTTCCGTAAAATTTCCTGCAATCACATTTCGCTCCGGAATTACGGAAAAGACACGTGATTTTTGTTGAATATTTCTCCCCGTGTACGCGGAAATGAATGAGCGTTTCTCATCCGACTGATAACCATTTTATTTATCATTTATGGAGGGAATATCGAATAAGAAGTTTTATCTTCCCTTCCCGAAGAATTTCCTCCAGAAAAACGATAAATCATGTTATGCAACGTGACCATCGGGGTCAATTAGGATGACAGCAGGCACTTGTTCATTGCCGACAGGCACGAAGGGTCTCGAATTAAAGTAATAAAAAAGTGATCGTCGATGGTAAAAGAAATAACATAAAGAGACATTACCATAGGTATCATTGAATTGAGGTGAAACACGACAACAAACCGGTGCAAAAAGTGGCATTCACATAAAAATAAAAACTATTGCAGAATATTCCCTGCATACGAGATCATAAAATGTCAATATTTCAATTTTCCTCCAATTAAAAAAAAAGATTGATTCTCCATTACTCAAATGATGCTGTGAATTCTCAATAATTCCATACTTTTTTCGTAATTCTGAATTTTTTCCGTAGCAGTTGATAATTGTTGTTTATTCTCTGCGATAAATAAACTGTATTTATTTTTTATACTTCGACGAATTTACGCAGTTAAATCTACGCAGTGCACGGAAGCGAAGTTCCATTTTTTTTCTCTCTCTCTCGGAACTGTACTCTTATTTAGTGATTACATCGCTCACAGTTTTATATGCACTCAACATCCGCTTCACTCGTCTCCCTCTGAATTGCACTCTATTCATAGGGAGTTTCGAGTGCCTCTGGTGTAACTGTTTGTGCTGTCATTACCTACATACATCATGGCTTGTAAAATATATGCGTAATCCCCTCATTGAACTTGCACTTGAAAAGCTAGCTGAATTTTCTAAAAGTTGAAGGTGTGACAACACAATCTGCAATAATGGATTCATGACTGTCTTAGAATCATGAAGAGAACTTCCCTCTTTCCTCTTCACTCTTTTAAACAACTCTTTGTCAAACTCTTCCTGACTCCTTGAAACTCATTAAAAGAACTGAGTGTTTTATCCTCCTCTCTGCTTTGAATAAGATTCTGTCTCTGCTCTTCCTTCATTGTTAATCTTAACAGGTATTACTGCAGTTCTTTTAAACAAGTGATTGGCGATAAAAAATTTTTTTTTGTCCGGCCCAATTCTTGTGTATCGCTTTGCCAAAAGGGAAATGAGAAAAATAAAAATTTAAAGAATGGTCAATGCCCCATTCGATTTCCGTCTGAGTAGAACGTGTCATGAATGGATAAAGGAATTCGCCAGTGAAATTTTATTGGATTTACGCCAGGCTATCTTGAGGATATCCGCCCAAGGAAAGTCAGAAAATCGTACCCAGAGATAAAAATTTTTCCTATCTCCCTGTAGTTCATAGAGATTCATTCTTGAAACCTACTCTACCTCTGCGAATCTGTCTTACCAACTGTCGGCAACATAATCCACTGGAAAAATGAGTTTTATCGAATGTCAATTGCCAATTGAATTACCCTGAATATTCGGAGATTGATAAAGAGAGGAGATTCATTTAAACAAATGTTTCTGATTCATAATGAAATGAAATAAATTAAAGAAGTGAGGTTTCAACGATATGAGAAGTAAATCGACTTCATTATCGGTCAACCAAACTTCCAGGAAGTCTTCTGAAACCCTTGATGAAAAATAGTCCTCTAACACACGACAAGTGGAAACCTGAATACAGGTATATTATCCTCATGCTACTACAGCTGAATCGACGCTCTCCTTTATCATTCCTTTTATTCTCTTTTCTTATAGTGCAAGGTCCACGAGCAATCAACACCAACTATATCAACTATTGTATCACCAAAGGAGTAGTCATGAGAGAAGTCATGAATGCAAAAGTAAAAAACTACAACAAATAGAGCTAACAAAACGTAGAAAAAAAAACCTTCGATTTGATATTCTAATTGTCAAATGGAAGAGGCATTTGACTCTTATCCCATTACCCATTATAGTTCATCAATGGAAATACTTAAATTGATAAAGTACAATGAACAATAACGACCACTCAATTACAGTGCCAATTCTACCAGTGATAAGGGATTGGGGATGTGCCAATGTGCAGGATTTCCAACTCAACAAATTTATATGTATATATATTCGAATTATATATTTATCCACCTTTCAGCTCTACATTTACATAATTATCCAATGAGTAATAGTTACATACAACAGTTATCAATTTAGATTGTTTGGTGTGGGGGGAGAGATCTCTGAGAGATTGGGTATAAAAAAATAAGTGAAATATTTATAAGGTCGGGACACTTTGGAAGAAAGTCGTTCTAGGCCAAAGGGGCAATTAACCATGCCCCAGCCTCACTTGGATCGATCGGTCTCGAACGCGAGCGATATATTTTCAGAACATGCAACCCCTATGAGGTTAACAACCCCTTTTCCTTTAATCCCCACAATTATCAATTTGTCATCACGCGATAACAAAATTCACCTCCTCCGATAAACCGTGTTTAACGTACATATAATAAAACGTTGTGCACTCTGAGTGATGAAAAATTTTGTGTCTTCAGGGTTTGTTATCCATTATATGCATCTTGGAAGGGGTGAAAAAGCTGTTCTATTCACAACTTGTGGCTCCACCGGGATAACACATACTCTTTATTATTATCTCTCTCTTAAGGTTGGTTCATTGTTTTTGTTCACTCACCAAGTACTGCCTGCAATGTTTTTTACTTTTAACGCAGACACGCTGTTTCTTCTTCTTGTTACCGGAGGCACCGAAACCACCACCGTTCACCGGTTTCTCTTTGGCTGTTGACCCGAAAATTGGACCTTTATTCGCGGGCATCGTCCAGATTGGCGTTTATTTTAATTTTTATTTAACGACGAGATTTTTTAACGGAGTGATTTTAATGGAACCACCGGGGAATTAGTTGGCACTCGATATGGAGGGGTCCAGTGAGTGTCGAGGACGCGCCGTGAAGGAAAAACTCTTTACTCTTGTCACATGCGCAGGTCATTGGTTGGGGTTGTGCGCCGAATAAAAGGGAGTGTTTCACCTGTCGCGCCCTTGCGGATGAGTCACACGCTGCCAATCATACGACTATCGCGGATTTTAATGACGAGGGGAAAAAAAACCCGCATGCAAGCCACAGACATGTGGGTTTTTCCTTATTACTCCCGAGAAACTACACGAAATTTGTGAAATATGCAAATCAATGATCAATTTTCAATGTTTAGCTTTGCGATACTGATTTTTTCATTCAACTCACAGAAAAAAAAAATAAAAATCATCACGATTAAATTCCTCTATCCTCCTAATTTGTGAAAGAAATATAAATTTTTGAGTTTTAATTTATTCAATACCGAATTGCATTTTATCTTCTGTACTGAGATAAGGGAAAATCTTCATTTTGTAGTTAAAAATAAATATATTTCCTAGTGAATGAAAGCCGAGAAACACACCTAAAAAACTCATCTATTACCGGCTAGTCTTTCTTCTTGGATTTGGAATTGCCTGGATTTTCATGTGAGATGGCGCAAAGAGGTTAATTTCTCGTAAAGGGGTCTTTCACTCTCTCACTATCAACCAACACCATTAAAACCTCTCGACAGATAGTTGACCCTCGGATTCGCCTTCGGGTGTTTCAGTTCTCGGCTCTCGCCCGTGGCTTCTGTCGTTCTATTTCACTGCGTGTGTATCTGCCACGGGTAATCTGTGACAACTTGATATAATCCATCGTTGGCAGTGAAAAGTGATAGTAAGGTGCGCTATCAAGTCCTCCATTCTTCACCGATAATTTTAACTCAATCAATGCACCAGGAGTCATCGAGTTGGACCAACGAAAAAGAAGAAAGTACTACGAAAAGAAAAGATCAAAAAAAGTCAACGGCGTGTAGTGACTCGTTCCGATTGTTTTCCACATATGTGTGAGAGTGTTTTTTGAGTGTGTGAAGCAATAGAGAAACATAGAAGCCTCGCACGAACAACGGGACTGAAGAGACTCCGGGCGCGGTTCAACGTCGAGGAATACCTTCAAACAATCATCTATCACTCCCTATTATGTACTAAAAAATGGTCTGATTGACTCATCATGACCGTGGATTTTGCTGATTATTTTTGGGTGAGTTCAATTGACAATTCAATTATACAATCATTCAATTCAACATCAACTAAGTAAACACAGGTGATTACGTATTAGCTCTGTTAGTGATGTCACCTAATGTCGTTCACATCTGCATTAGCTTAGTCGTTATTTGTGACATCTGTGTTAGTGCAATGTGAGAGGTTAGGTGTTACAAATACCGCTTTTACACGAAGGAGTATTTGGCTCAATTGATGCAGCGATATAGGCGTTAGCAATTTAATTGTATTCTTCTTTGAAATATTAATGAGACAGGGCACGCCGGGTTAACGTGTGTAAAACTCGGGGCTTCTAGTGTCCTTCGGCATCTTTTTTTTTGTTTATTTCACTGTACCTTGTGGCTACTGCCCTTTCTCTTTTTCATCTTCCACGATTTTACTCGCGATTTTCTTATCGTTTTTCAAACTTTTCCCTAGGGTGATGTAGCATCTCACAGGTGCCTTCGGAGGAGTTGTACTGCGGCCTCCTTAGAGGCGGAAAAGTATGCAGGAGAGATTGGCATTCTGACATGGAATTTATGGCCATCTTTTCAACATAAATATTCATTTTTGTGAATATGAGATGGTTCGCGGTTATATTCGAGTTTGAAACAATTTTTTTTTCAATTTATGAAATTCTTGAGTTGTACAAATTATACAAGTACTCTCGGAATTATTTGAGTTTGTTTTATTTGTAAATTTTCAAAAAGAGTCGTTAGTATTCGCGAGAATCTCTTGCCACGGAATTTCATTAAAATACCAAAAAGTATCTGTACGATTTTTTTTTTTTAAACAACTGCTATATTCAAATATTTCTCTAGGTGTAGAGTGTTCATTACTTTCCACAATTTTTTTGAGCGTTGAACGTCGTGTTGTATTCTTATCTCAATAATTATTTTTTAACTGACTTTCAAACAGCAATCTTATATTAATAACTCAATTTAACTTTGCACTTATCGGCGTGACCTCTCGGTCGAAACCTCGGTTGAAAACCTCGATAAGATATTGGTCCATCCCTTCTCGCCCTTTTTCTTCCTCCGGTTGAAAGATAATTCCTCCCGTATCGTCATCCTGCCGAATGTATTTTTTTTTCGTGAGAAAGAGTCTGTGGAGAGTGAGCGAAAAAAAGTAAAACGAAATGTGTATATATAGCCATGAAAGGAGTTCAATGTTACGACACAGCTCGTTACCATTTATGGACAGGTCACGCGATAACGAGAGATGAAAAGAATTTGAGTGAAAGTTTTATTCATATGATAGTAATTAATTCGTCGGTAATAACGCATTACTTAAAACGACAAACGCTACGTGGAGTATTCATTATTCGCAGTCAAATATTGAGATAACCATAAATTATGCCCTTGAAAATTCATTAATTTTTTAATAATAATTAATGCAACTTTGCCCACATTTTTGCCAGACGCATTAATCTACCAAATAACTGATACAAGTTTTACAGATTTCATTCCACCGCAATATCGAACGATCCCTTCGCCATCGATCTGTCCCCAGAAATAATTGCATTTCCTTGCCATTCCGACATCACGCAAAATACAAAGATAAATAACCGGAATGATATTAGAAATAAATAAAAAAAAGCCAATAAGTTTCAAGGCCTTAGTTTTTCCAAGACGAAGTTACCATAATCGGTGCAATTATGTTCTTTGCATGACAAGTACCAGTCTCTGAGTGACTTCCTCAGACGATTCCCTCAAAAAGAAGAATTTTTCACTGGTGATTTTGAGTTGACGATGAGTATCCTGGAAAAACGATGGAAACCGGTCGAGCCAGTGGTGCCTTGGCCTTGTCGTGTTAACGCTAACAGAGAAACTTCTCTCAATCCATCTCAGAACAAAGTATCCATAGAATATAAAAATTTATGACTACGACAATGACGAAGCGAAGAAAAACATCTCAAGCCTTTTCTCGCTTCGAAGGTGCTTAACAAAGCTCTGAACGACGCCCCAAAGAGCACGTCATCATGTATTCTTTATCAATCATATCATGCAGTGGTTAAAAAAGGGGGAGAGCTCTCGTGCGTCACTGAAAAATGAAATTGTCGGGCAATTGATTGTCGCACATTAACCATACTTGCCGTGTACCACATAAAAAGTATGATTGCTAAATAATAAAGGACTGAAACTGAGTGGCTTTTAACCATTCTCTTAATTCTTTTAATCATTCATCCCGTGAAATATCATACAGAAACATTCAGTCTATCGCTCTATCGCTCTATCACTCTATCACTGTCCATGAATGTCATGTTCGACCTCTAAATCTCAGCCCAAACACTATCTAGTTAAACGCCCACGGAAGTCATGCTCGGTACTTTTCCACACTCTTCCAACAATACACATTATGTACACAATGTTCAACGTCGCATGAACATTGTTATATGGCTTCGGCAGACAACACGATGGAATCATTAACCCCGATATACCGAGAGAAGTACAACGAAAAAGATGAAGGACATTTTAAATCAGTTCCAGAGATTCCCAAGTTCATTTTTCATTCTCTCAGCAGTAATGTACTTATGAATAAAATGAGATTCTCTCTAATAATGTTCCAGGGTGAAAAGAATAATGGATTTGACGTACTGTACCATAATATGAAACATGGAGTGGTGGCGAGCAAGGAATTGGCAGAATTTCTCCGGGAGAGATCGACCATTGAGGAGAATAACTACAAATTGCTGAGCAAAGTTGCTAAACAAGCGAGCAACAGTAGCAGCACCCAGGGCACATTTGCACCAGTATGGGCAGCATTGCGTGGAGCTGCTGAAAAACTCGCTGGTCTTCATCTCCAAATGGCCCAGCGAGTCTCTGAAATTATCAAAGATGTGTCGAAATACGCTGACGAGCTTCACAAGAGGCACAAGGCTGTAAGTACATCTACATAATTGTTTTAAATTGAATGACTGACGGCCCACGATAGCGGCAGTATCTTATGTCCAAACGATTGTCCAGTTGCCCTGTGGTTGTTATCAGTTTCCGCCCACTCGGTTCATCTCGTACTGTACTTTTGTCGATGCACGTCAACAATTGAGAGCGCTCACAGTTGGGTAGATTGAGTTGAGATGGGGTTTTGTCTTTCAGGTGAAAGAGGAGGAATCCTCGACTCTCGAAGTTGTACAGAATATTCAGAGTATTACTGTGACACTGCAGAAAGCCAAGGACATGTGCATGCAGAAGGCACTGGAGTTGGAGAAGCTTAGAAAGGACAATGCCAGTCAGCGAGAGTTGGAAAAGGCTGAGGCCAAGTTCAAAAAGACTCAGGATGATTATAAAGCACTTGTAGATAAATACACTGATGTTAGAAATGATTTTGAGACTAAAATGACAGCTGCATGTAGGGTGAGCATTTATTGAATTGGATCTGTTTATTTTGTTTTCCTCGTATTGAAATATTTCTTGCTAACTGGAAATAATTGACGCAACATATTTATCCAGAGATTTCAAGATGTGGAGGAGACCCACCTGAGGCACATGAAGGAGTTTCTCAACACCTACGCCGACGCTCTCCAGGCGAATCACGAACAGGTTGGACAGGTTCACATTGACTTCAAACGCCAGTGCCTGGATATGACTGTGGAAAAGCTGCTGGAGCAATTTGTGCAGTCGAAGTACACGGGTTTCGGACGGCCAGGTAATCGTCGTGACTTTATTAACGACACTACGAAAGCCACTGATGTACCTAATACGCCAGGCGTGATCGAGTACGACGAGGTGATGACCAGTCTAGCTGAGATTGCCAGTCAAACTCACCAGGTGGAGGCTCCCACTGATACAGCCAAGGATACAGCGACCAAAGGAACTAATGGAGAAACAGGCGTTGCTGGTAACAAACCGTATAAGAAAAGTCTCAATTCTAAGGGCTTGGGTAGTTGGGATGGGGGAAGGGATAATGAGAAGATTAAGGAGAAGGATAGAGACGCAACCACCAAGGGCTCACGTCGTACCACCTCGCTTCTCAACCTGTTCATGTCCAACTCCCAGGGTAGGTCATCCAATAACATCAATTCAATGACAGAGAGATTATGATAAACAGTCGCAGTTACACATATTTGATTTCACTCCTAGCACTCATTGTTTTTCTGCTTTGATACAAGAAGCCCCATATTTTTTTTCGCATCAAATTCATGATTTTAAACGATTAACTCAAATGTTTACTTCCTGTATAATTCCATTAATTTCGATTAATTTTGTATCCAGGCAGCTGACAATGTGTGTCACATTTTTTCCAGCACAGTTTTTTTTGTCAATAGGCGAAAATCCCTCGGGTTACTAGTTTTCACTCTAGAATCGTTGTCATTACGCTTTTTGTGGTCGTGTTTATGAACCCTAGCTTGTCCATCGTTGCTCTAACAAATCGGGTGGAGGATGATGTACTGAGAGTCGCATATTCCCATTGCAATTTGAATGAAATGAAGCGTTTTTATTAAATCGTTGCATATTTTTTTTGTTGTGTTCTGTAAACTTTCTCCTTCCTATTCTTTTGATTAAATGGATGGGAAAGAGTGACGCAGCGAGATTTGAAGGGAGTAGAGGCGGGCCGAAAAAATATGAGCGATGAGTGATTGTTTCAGAGAGACAGAGGCAAGCAGGGTCTGGTTCGGCACCAGTCACACCTCAGGGCAACAATCCGCCTACTGCCGTTCCACCTCCCAGCATCTCCAGGAACCCTCTAAGAGGATCTAAATGTAACTGCTTATCAATCGTGAATTATCTAAACTCTATAAAGCATTCAAATCAAGTATCTGAAAATTCAATCGACTGCAACTTGTTGGGTAATTGAAGGGGCCAAGGAGATTTATTGAATTTTTTCCATGATTCTAATTATTAAAAATCATTGAAAATATTAAATGCCCGTTCAACGGTCATTTAAACTAAACGACACAGTGACACAGCTGTTTCTATTTTTATTATTTCTCCACGAAAATATTGAAACGTCATCTGCAATCAATGCGTTATAATTGCCGATCGTTTTTCTCATTGCATAAATTTCTTTTACTTCAGTTGATCCCTCAATAAAATTCTCTGTATCTCCTTGATCTATTCAAGTATCCGATTCACATGACTATACAGTAATGTCTATGCGCAAAGTAAATTGATCAATCGCAGTGATTCCCACATACTACGAACAAGAACGACATCTCATTCGCTTAAACGTAAACACATTTTCTCACTGCTGTAATTGTTTTCTCTTCCCCCTCCTCCCCAACGAGAAACATTCGGGTACCCTGTATGTTAAGTTTGAATCGTTTAATTCTATTCATAGCTTCTTCAACCTGATTTAAACGTTCTTGCACGTGCTGATAAGTGCTACATCCTTTTTTATTCCAAAGTGAATTAAAAAAAAAGTTTTACATCTTTAAATCTTGTTTGCTGTTGAAAATGGTGTTGACTGGCGTTGCCTCTTTCTCAACGGCCTAAAAATGGACTAAAGTTGATGGTGGGTTTTGAATGGAAAGGTGAACTGTCTTCACAATATCTATCTGCCTTGTTATTTGTCTTACAGAGAATCTCCTTGATGAGGGTTTAGAATTAATTAGAATGGTGACACGTACAACAGAACCTCCACTCTGCACCCTAGAACACGCTGAACACTGGCATTATTAATCGTTAATCAATCTTCTCTCCTTAATCATCATCTGCTGATGATAAAGCCACAATAACACCTAGATGTTGATACTCACCTTCCGCTAACACCAGCTTTATAGATTTACTTCTAATTCTGTGGATGGGTGAGATAAGGGGATAAACGTATACAATCCAATCGATAAAATGGACTTATCGCCTTGTGATCATTCGTACCAGGATTATCTCTACAATGTTTTTATCTAAATTGTTTTTCTAACAGTCATTATGGGCACTGATAGGGAGGGGCCTTCATTGACACTTTTCCTGGGAATTTCAGGCCAGTCAGTGGAATCTTATCCCTGATCATTGCTCGTTCTCTTCATCGATTTGTATTTCTTCGTTTACAACAATAATCTACACGATGATAGCCGGGTTTATTCAATTATGGTGTTGTGTTAAATGCACTTTGTACCGGTGTAATTCATCTGTACGGCACTGCAGTGGGAAGCTATCGATAAAGTGTTAAATGTCTTACCTCGTCCGAGGAAAAATAGATCGAAGGCGTTTTACACTAGAAGAGCACTTTCCATGCTATAACAATCATCACACTGTTAGAATTTTTTAATTGAGTATTTATCAGAGGGGAGAAATGGACTTGAATGAAAGACGTTGAGGGGCAAGGGGGCGACGGGTGATGCCTCAGGTGAGCCGTCATATTATTACAAATAATTATGGTTTTTTTAACTCAGTTTTCATTGACTAATGCATGGCTCAGTCTTTTAATCTGCCCTGATGAAAAACATCTTGACAGAAATTTTTGTGCATCTCCAGAGCTGCAGTGTTACCCTATAATTTTTTTTTTTTTGCGAATCCCGTGATCGCTGCATCAAGTAAATGTTCTCTAAATTGACAAAAACACTGGAAAAATGAATTTGCATGGTTCTTATATTTCTCCTATTAATGATTCAGTCCCGAAATATGATTATATTAATTGTTAGAAAAACAATTTATCGAGTTATCCCTGAGTAGCTGATTTAGGTGATGGTTGCTGTTTGGGTTTGTTCTAAAATAGATCGCCGTTGATAGCAAGCTCTTTCGCTGATTATAATATCTCATTTGACTTTCTATATGCACATTTAGCTTCTCTTTACCTACGTTAATTGCCAAATATCAATTTCAATACCGCTGTTGATCTGTTATCGCCATTAGAAAAAGAATACTTTTATGAAATGGGGTGAGTGAAAACATATGGACAATTTAGTGTCCAGTTATAAGTATTGGTACTCTTGCATAAAGTAAACAGCATCGATCTCGCTTAGATTCAGGTATAAAAAAATTCCAAAGAATTCCAGCTTAATCGTTGCGGATTTACATTATTATAAATTCCATTTGTGTTCTGTGGGAAATTCAATAGAAAAGTAAGGGAAATGGGGTTTCAATATTTCTATAGAATTTTATTTATCTCTTCTTTGTCATTTTGATTCTTTCTACACAATTTGTTCAACATAAATTTCTCGAGTTTTTGTCGCAGAATTTGCATCTCCATCTTTTCAGGGCAAAATTGTGAAGAAAACTCAATGGATTTTGTTGAATTAAAATTTATTCGTTTCTCTTTTTTCCTATCAGATATGTTTCACGGTAGATCTGTGGAATAAAATTTTAATATTCTTCTTTCGGAGATGTTTTTTTTGTAAATTTCATCAGAATGATTCTATTATTCCATGAAGGAGTGACTATTGAATAATTTAATGAAATTTTGGTTATCGTGATATCGACAGGGTTTCTTCGCAGTAGACGAGAGAAGAGAAAGGAGAAAAAGGCGAAGAAGAAGAAGGACTCCGTGGATACAAGCAGTAACAAGGAAGAAAAGTCTGACCTGTCAGTATACGAATTATCAGCATACCCAGTGCGACTGATAAATTCTTATTGCAATACTATCGTGTTTTCTATCCATATGTGAATTTTGTATTATGAGTAGTCATATTTGAATAGATAGAGCTCAATTAAGTAGTAACTCTAACATTTAAAACGCGAAGTACACTGGGCTTGCTGAAAGCTTGACAATCTGCTGAATAATTCACTAAAATTTGGCTTTTTCGTTTCAACTGTCAACAATGAAAACAGAGAAGAAAAGGACGAGAGTCGAAAATCTGAAACACCAACGCCTGAAGTGGACGAGGATGGTTTTTGCATCAGACCCAAGCCCGATCCATGGGAGAACGAGAAGGGTTTTTACTCGAGTTCGGACACTGAATCGGAGGACGAGAGGGAAAGAAAAATACGGGTTGAAATAAAGCCATTGAGCAATGGTGGTGCACCCATGAGTGCGAGTGTCGACGAGTTGAGAGCAACTGTTGAGAATCTCTCGTTGTCACCAGCACCCACGGGTCGCAGGGGTTCGAATACCGACTCGGATCATCTGATGAAGAGATCCCAGTCGGTTTCCCAACAGCTGGGTAAACCAAGCTCAGATTTACTTGGATTAAATTTATTCAATCCAAGTAGTACACCATCGAGTGCCTCAACGCCAACAGCCAGTCATCCCTATGCACCACTGCAGAGTCCACCACCCATGTCATCGTCACCAGTGCCACAGAGTGCACCACCACAGTTGACCAGTACAAACACGAAATTTCCAGAGGGTGATTTATTCTCGGAGATTGGTGATATTACTCCTGCGTTGCCACCGAAGCAATCAGCATCCTCAACACCTACAGGATCGATTGCTATTCCTAGGCCTTCATCACGACGCAGTGAAGGTCCAACTCGAGGTCGAGCATCACCAGCCACTATTTCCAGGGCTGACAGTGTCGCTAGTTTAGAATTTCGCACTGCTGGAGTCGGTGTTGGATCCTCCAGGGGCCCATCACCCCTTACTATCGGACTCGCTGATACAATTCCTCTTGCAGTGGCATTCCATGAGATTGTACACTCGTATTTTAGGGGAACCGATGAGAATCGTTGTCAGGTCAAACTCAGTGGCGACATGATGCTATCCTTTCCTGCTGGAATCGTCACTGTCTTGGCTAATAATCCCAGTCCTGCAAAACTTTTATTCAGGATCAGGAACAGTAATCGACTTGAGAGATTGCTACCTAATGGTCAACTCGTTAACATGTGAGTGATTTTTTAACAATTTAAGTTGTCATTGTGAGGGACGGTATGACTAATTGCCATTTCATTCTCTTACTCAGCGACGCCACTCAGACCACATCAGACTGTACAATATTTGAGTTTAATATGAGTGCCTTAACCACATTGCTACGTCGTCAGGCAGAGCAGAACCCCTCAGCCTCGTACTTCAATGTGGACATTCTCAAGTATCAAATTAAGAATAAAGAAGGTGCAGGCTCATGTCCATTTCAACTGGTGGCGTACTGGAAGTGTGAGTCAACCCACACGGATCTCAAGGTAATTCTCTTCTTATCGTTATTTGTCATTTCTTGAACATACAAAAGAAGCCACTTCGGCATAAGCAGTCACATGGAATTCACAGATCGACTACAAGTACAACAGTCGTGCAATGGCATCCCCAAGTCCTCTGCTAAACCTCCACGTGGCAGCCCCCATCGACGGTGGCTTCAAGACCCTTCACAGTAAACCCTCAGCCCAGTGGCTGCCAGACACAAACAGACTACTTTGGAAATTCACAGAGTTGTCTCAGCACAGTGAGAGTAGCGGGGTTGGTTCATTGAAAGCACGAATTGAGCTTGATCGTGGCCCAGGATCTCAAGGGACTATCGTAACTCAGTTCAATTGCGAGGGAACGACCCTCTCGGGTGTTGAGTTCGAACTCGTTGGTGCTGGATATAGACTAAGCCTCGTAAAACGCCGATTCGTATCCGGCAAATATATTTGCGATGGCGACAGCGATCCAAGAACTCGTTATGCAGCTCCACCCTCTAGCACAGATTGACGATTGCCCGAGTGGTCACCAAAATGGGAAACACAGTCCACTTGATCTTCATTGATTTTCCAACCCTCACTGCCGATGCCTTAGATAATTCAATGGACATTGCGGCCAATGTGAATTTCAATTGCACATATGAAATTGAGGAAAGAACACTATGAGTTATCAGATTCAAAGGCTATTCTTGAAAATTATCACATACCAAAGTTTCATGCATGCAAGAAGGAAGAATTAGTAATTGCAAAATTATGGCCTCTTTATTATTCAGTATATTTGAAAATCGTGAAAATTCTTCCTTCAATATTTTGTTACTTGGAAAACTCATAGTTATCTGCCCTTAAAGGCTGTTGGATACCAAAGAGATATATGGCCGTTGTGGATATTGGATGATATTATTTTTATCGATTTTATGTGAGGAGCGATGTGCGAACACCAAAGGCTTTCTAGAGGATAGAAATGCGCGAACAAAACTCAAGAGAATTAGATTTATTTTCCGTTTGTACATAAACACCCCTTCGGATTAGAAAGTTTTTATAACTTTACGATGTTTTTGTATTAATTCAACGATTTGCTAGGTAATGATTATGATAAATTTTGATTATCTTCAGTTAGACGTAAGTTGTGCTAGGGGATAGGAGATATTTCAGTGGAAAATATTAGAAATGAATTTTTCACTTGTTGGTTCTTTGGTGTCCAACACACCTTTGCCTTTAGCCAGAATAATTCGCCATTTTCTATTGTTCTCGATGATTACATTATTAGTTCATGTTTCATCTGTTAAAATGCTTATTCATTCATGATAACTATTAATATACTCGTTACATTGTTCCACATTGTTAGTTATTTATGTAAATGAAGAAGATTATTTCAAAATTCAATTATTCACATCTTTATGGCTTTTGAATCCGTCAATAATGTTATAATTATCTTTACTCCAAGTATTTTTTTTTCTTTTTGTCATATGCAAAGCAATTTTTTTGTCATGCGGAAGCAATAATGAGTGATGAATGCAGGATAAAAGCTATCGATTTGACGATGGTAAAGCCTCATTTGCTGTTGAATTATATATTCAGGTGCCAAGTTCAGGAACAGCTACTCATAAATGTGTGGAACGCATGATATTTTCCCGAGCCATGCCCCTCGACCTCTGTGAGCTCATCTACTTGAATTTACTCATCAATTACATATCTGCAGAAAAACAACGGGCAGAGCGTAACGAAGAGAAGTCTATGATGAATTTGTTTGAGATAAATCGAAATTGCACTCTAAATTAGCGAAAACTCAACTCATTCCAATTAATTTGATACTTCATTGAATTATTAATAAGTTTACTTTAAGTTGTCGATCTATAGGTTTTTATGAAACAGTAATTTGTATTATAAACGCAAGGGGAGGACACAAACTTCATAAAAACAATTTAACCGCGGATGTTAAAGTGATCCAATATGGACGCGGATGTAAATAATCGCAATAAAATTATATCAAAAAGAATATTTAGATAAATGACAATTGATAATTATAATCGACCAGAATAATTAACTTTGAATGAAAAGGCTGATATGGAATTGGCTTTTTCTGTTCAGTTGTTTGTCAATCTTCATTTACTCTGTTGAAAAACAATATTTGATTTTTCAAATGGCAGAATTTAAGGTGAGAGTTTGATTTATCTGGTCAATGAATTTTTATGATTGATGTTGACGCAAATTTTTAACTGGAATTGTCTTGTTATTTGACCAATTGTATTATTAGATCGTGAGGAACAATCGCTTTTCCAATGTTCCGAAACGATTTTTCTCCAAGTGAATACCGCATTATTTCTCTTTCTCTCTGTTAAAGTTAAATCTTTTTCGTATCCCGTTGGCGTATAGTGAAGTCAAATGCTAAGCAAGAAGTTCGAAAACGATTTGTAAACTAAAATTAATGCTGTATAAAATCACAAGGATATTTTGAAAGAACTAGAAAGAAGTGAACAAACATATGAACTCATGTTACACCCTAGGTCAGTTATGTAAATACGGGAATCCGATCTTGGCATGCGGTATTTGTGCTAATAAAAAATCAGGATATTTTATATAAAATAATGCACCCTATTCACCAAATACGACCATTCAAATACGTTTTTTTTTAATTGTCTTGTTTTTTCATTAAAAATTGACACAGCGTTTATCGATCGGTAAGTAAGCGTTTAAAGAACCTTTTTGCGTACCAGCCTTACATTTTTCTCGAGTGTCCAGCACTCGCGGGTTTCTGTAGTAATAACGGACACCAAGCACTAAGTAAGCACTGAATAATTAAAAAAAGAATGTTCACAACTGAGTAAATACTGATATTTTTTGTTTTGTCAGAAGGAATCTAGTATATCCCTAGGATAACGACAGCAGCAATTTGAGAACACCATCTTCCCGGAATTTTTCTCGGAGTATTCTCTCGTAGTTCTCAGGAATGGAAAAATTCCTGTGGACGTTGACAGGACCTTTTAAATCCACTCTGTTCAAGATTACATAAGCCAATCTCCTCTCACTCTCGATGTATCTCTCATCCAGGGTAAACCAGAGCGCTAAGGCACATCTCTTTCCCTTTTTAATCCCTCGAACTCCATGGAGATTGGTCCCATCAGCAGAAAACGCTACCATTCGCCCACACTTTGGTTTGACACTACTCTCGATCGTTTTGGCTTTAGGATCAGAGGAAAAAACAAATTCCCCACCCTCGAAATCATCGTTGAGATAGACAATGGCTGAATAATTCCTCCAGGTAAATGCCGGCTTCTGGTGGAGACAAACTCCTTTTTCTATTGCTAAGCAATTGTCTGCATGAATTTCGTGACTGAACGTCGATCCATCGGAGAATATTCCTAAAAAAATTATTGGATTGAAGGATATATTTCAATCTTTGATAGATCGATGCGATATTTAAGGTAGGTGGACCAAATAATTACCGGGAAGAGCGGATCGACAGACCAAATGAGTGTATGTAAAGTAGAGTGTTTGAGGAAGATTGAAGTGTTTTTCAACGTGTATACGAGCGAGTTCGGTGGCTTTGAGGAAAAGATCTAGATGGACCGGCTCGAGAAGTCCAAAGTAGACCATCTGAAAATGATGATTACATCAATGAAGATCTCCTTATCTTTTTCGCATAAATTTTAATTAAAAATGGGTGGAAATAATTCTACGCAATCTTCATTACCAAAGCGGCTCTTCCTAATGTGAGGCCTTCGAATTTCTCAAATTTTGAGTGAGGACTCGTATTATGGGCATATCCATCACCTTCAACAGCTGCTTTCTATTATCAAACATACGAATATATTCACTATAATAATATTTTCAGTCATTTTAAAAAATTGTAATCAAAATTTATCAGACTATTTGTTCATACGTCTGCCAATTGAATCAGAGATTTGCACTGGGTTTCTGTCAAGAAGCCTTCAGCAAGGTACCTCATTCGTCCTTTAAGTTCCCCCTCTTCGGCAATAACATTTATTCCTTGAAATAATTCAGTTTGTGATTGCCGCCAAGAATCCGTAATTCCCATCTTTGAACTCTTGACGTTTCCAACTCTAGATTCATTCATGGATATCTCTCCTCCAAATGGTTGTCGTCCCTTGGCCTTAAATTTAAAAAATCCTATTAAATGTTCTGTGTTTCAATTGAAAAAACAATGATTATGAATAATAATTATCAATAAATAGTAATTTATTTGAATCGCGTCGTACACTTGCCACCCACATTCTCTATGACGCTCGCATCTCCGCACTTATCAGATATTTTTTTTTTTGGACCGAAAAAATAAACTGCAGCTGCAGCTGCGCCATCGCAACAGATGTTGAGATCACTCCATTCAAATATTTACATTGAAATATTCATTTTGCTTCGCCGTTTATTTATTCATAGTAATATACAAAATACAAGTATAAAAAAATGTATAAAGACAATTTCCTGATTTTCTATGTGTCTACGGGATTGATAATTCACAAATTAGCGGATCATGAAGAATATTTATCCCATGAGGACTATTAAATTCTCCAACTCTCAAATTACCTTTTCATTATAAGCATTGGATTTCTTTGCGTCAGATATTCTAGCATCAATAATTGTAAATTCATCAGCGATATATCTGAGTATTCGCAACTCGTACTCTTGGCGTTTCACATAATCAACAGCCTCCTGAAAAAAGAAGAATAAAATAAAGGAATGAAATTTAAAAAAACGACGAATTAATAATCAGGAGAGATTATTCAATGCATTGAGAGATCTGTACCGGACGTGCGATAAAATATTCATCCTGTTGGTCTTCCACTTTTGGTAATTTTTTGTAGTATTCTTTATTATTCAGCATTGTTTCATCAGCAGGATAGAAGAGCAGGTAACTTTCCACAGCCTGACAAGTGCTTTTGATCTCGCCCACTAGAGCCATAAAATTCATTGACAAAAATTGTTAGTGACTTCAGCTAACTCGTAAATTTGCCATAAACTTGTCAAGTAGAGTTTTCTCAACTGAAGATTGTGCGCACACATAATCATCTTCTCAAATACTTTTCGTCTTATATTTTATGACTATTATTTATTCATGAATCGAGTCTCTGAGAAAATCAAAAAATTCACCAGCAATTTTCAGAACGAGATGTATTTCCGGGGAAAAATAACTGCTAATAACGGTCGGTTATAGTAATAATGAATGATAATGAGGTCACTGGATTAAACAAGATGAACTGCGATGAGAGAAGATCAAGGATTGAGGTATTTGTCCTTGAATTAGGCAGTACTTACATTTGTAATAGGCAAATTGTAAGTAGTTGTAATGACTTGGTAGAAGTTCCCTTTGATAGTCACCGTTGAAGTTGTTTAATAATTGGGAACACAGTCGTTTGCACTTCAGGCAATACGTGAAATGATCTAGAAAAATGAATCAACGGCATCAATGAGACGTTTAATAAATAGAAGACATTTAATTTGAAAGTAAAAAAAAATTGAAAAGTTAACGATTTTTCTTCTCACTCCAGATAGAACTCACTTGCTATTGAAGAAGTGAACTCTGGATGCCATCCTTGTTCAAAAGAGCCCTCGCAGTACAATCTGCACTCATCTTCAGACTTCATATACAACTTCAAGGATTTCTCGAAATTCTCTGCAGCCTCATCATACAATTCCTCTTCATAAGCATCAACACCTTTCATATAATATTCGAGAAATGGAGACATTTCCAAATTCTTCACTTTACTCTCATCGACTTCCTTGAGAGTCAGGTAGTATCGCAAATTCTTGGAGTTCATCTCGTGCTTTGGATGAACAGTCATATACGTGAAAAGAGCATTAGCAGCTTCTTGAAATCGATTTCTCTGAAAACCAAAAAGAATTAGAGTAAGTCCGCATGAGGGACTTCCGGAAACATGACAAATTTATGATGATGCAAGTTTATGTCTGATATGGGAGAAGACACTTGCATTCTGAGTATCATATATGACAAAACCTCAGCATTTCCCATGCGCTCAAATGTCTCAATGTCACTCTTCTTCTGTCAACCATTCTATGCCAACAGGTTTTTTTTTTGTAATCTATTATTTTGGATTACTGAATTTAACAGTAGTTGGTGGCTGATATCCAATATTGCCGGAACCAGTTTCCGGCAAACGTGGGACGGCCATCGACTGATCGAGAGCCGCATGTCAAGGCCATTCAGTGATAGTGCACGAGTTTTGTGTGGGTCAAACGTTTTAAACTGACTATCACATCGGCAGAAGATAGTATTGTCAAATAATTCCGTAGAGAAGTCGAAAAACAAGATGATTCATTTGAATTTTGGACTGTCTTACATTGATATCTCTGAAATGGAATGAAACTGGAAAAGTTTCACATCTGATATCGTCTGTTCTTTTAAAATGATGTACTAGAAAAACTGATTCTTCAAATATTTCTTAAAAACCAGATGTTACATATGGAAATGGAAACAGAAACTAGGACGGAAATATTCTCACAATATACCCAGAAAACATGAGAACAATCTGCACGAGTTCGGCTAAATTAGAAACAAAAAAATGAAAAAGAAAAGAAGTGTCGGATTTCACTGGCGGAGCTTTACGACACCTATAAACAGTCGTGCAAATGGAATTTTTCGCTGCTGGGAATCGTTTTTCTTAGGAGAAACCATAAAGTCAACCCACATCATCGTTTTAAATAGTCAAAGATCAACGTACCATTTGCACACGCCTACTTGTTTATTTATTGTTGTGGTCACGTTTCGAGTGAGCTGTTTCAATTGCTTGTCGCGGTGGACTTAGTCACGTACGCAAATCCCTGTATTAGGAACAATTAGGAAAATTATGGCAAGAGGATTATTACCTGGTAATAACATATGTGAAGGTATTCATAGGGCTTTAGACCGAGAATTTCCTTCTCCATTTCTCTGGAAATTCGTTTAAGCGACTGTGGACCCATTGCATCTCGGTAATCTTGATTGCAGTTCAGAAGACACAAGGTTTCACGAATTTTTTTCTCGTAAAAGTGAAGGTCTTCCACATTTTCGATGAAAATTGGAGGAGCTTCTGATGCTTCATGGCGACACTTCCTCCGGCAGTTTATTACAGCATTTTTGTAGGATTTATATCTGGAATTCATTGGAGTTTTGCAGGTCTCATAATAAATTCAATGTAATAGTTGAGAATGGGGTTTGATATGCCTCTTCAGGCAGAACATTATTCATGAAAATTATACCTTTGAAGAAAATGATTAAATCCAATGATGCACTCCTCCCAATGTTCATCCAGATAAGTGTCAACTGCAGTCTTATAAATCTCCTCCAAAGTCATACTTTCAAAATCCGGAACTAGTCTCTCGATTTGCTCTACTTTGCGCTCTTTTTCTTCCCTTACATTATCAATTTCATCTCCAACATTAGCTGCAACCGGTTGTACCTCTTCGCTTGCTGCATCTGCGGTCTCTTTCTCAGGTGATTCATCCAGGGGGATCTCGTTCTCCGAAACTTCACATTTGATTTTCGAGATTAAACAGAATATTAGGAGATGAAAGAGGAGGAGTTTTGTGCGTCGCATTATTCCTACTTTATCGTGCACCATAGCTAGCCGGCTTGGGCTCGACTAACTGCGGAATGTGACGTACATACAACTGATCTCCCCAAGTCTGGACGAATGAGAGGAGAGGCCGAGAGGGGACCACTGGACACATATGGTCGCGATAAAACACTTTTTCTCCAAATATTTCTGGGACTCTACGTGGTAGTATTTTGATTTCGGAAAAACTTCCCCGTAATTCGAACAAAGTAATTTTTTTCTGAAATTAGTTCACTGGGAAAATAATTTTAACACTTTTGCCTCGGCTTTTCTATCAAACATTCAGACATTTACTTTTATAGCGTGACTTAAGTATCGTACAAAGTTTGTGAGACATTTTTCTATTCTTTCACATCATCTTAACATTTTTATTTCAAACAATGCTGACCGAAACTCATAAATTATTACAAATTATCCAGAACATTCTCATGATCCTCCGACTATTTTCTCCACTCATCCATCTCTTCGCACTAAACGTCATTTCCGTGTAATCATCCTTGTAATTTCTGTATGGAAATTAATCAGAAAGTAGGACAAAATTTTTTTTTAATTACCCTAATGTTTTAATAATTTCAATTATTCTTGAACAAATGTAAAATATTTATGTTTTTCTCTATATAATAACTAGCACAAAAAATATATCAAAGGTAGAGAAATAATTCCCACTTTCATAGATTGATTGACATGAAAAATAATGATCTTAAGAACAGTAATCCTCTGATCTGAGGAGATTAATGGGAGGACTTCGAAACATCTAAAGAGCTTTGAATTTCTAGAAAATCGAACCATGGAGTTGAGACATAAGGGTAGATTATTAATCGATCCATGTGTTTTTCTTTTTTCGAACTAAACAAAAATTTTGACGATATATAAAAAAGTAATTGTATCTGTATGGAGGTTTTACTGAATAAATCACAACCTAAGGATAAACGATTTGAAATAACAGTAAAGGATAATTCCCTGGTGAAACGATGAAGCATAATGAGTCGAGAAACATTTCAATTAAATTCTTTGTATTCACGCATTTATCTCGACAGAGAAGAATTTTAGGAAAAAATGTTGAGGAACTTTTTTGGATATTAAAAATATGCCCAATGTAAAAGTTTCAACATTTTTTTCCAGAATACATTACCATCGCTAAGACTGCATATTTGAAAAGTAACTCGGGACGTTTTAGCATTTCACCGGTGAATTAATCATTTGAATTCTATGTACTGTAAAAAAAAAATGGAAAAAGTCGATTTTTCTTGTGATAATAATGAATATTAAGCGGGTGAATATTTATCTACTGTTCTAAGCCTAGTTAACGTATATGTAACCATGAGAACTTGCAAACGGCTAAACAAAAAAAATGTTATTAATCAAAATTCCTGAAAATCTATTCCCTTTTCATTACTTTTTTGGATAAACTACTTCGAAGAAATTCCCACGCATAAAGATAATATCTGTACTATTTTCCATTATTCACACTACCTCCGATTGATTATTTTCTCACTTGTACTTATAATTCTTTTGATTGCTGTTCCAAAACAATCTCATATTAAAAAAAAACGACTAAACGCTTCAATAATGAAAAAAATGCGTTTTGAAGAAACAACTTCTTAATTGATGGACATACCTACAGAAGTCCTTTCCCTGGAGGAATTTACACATCAACATTAACATTAATTATCAACAAATGAACGCCACGACAACGCATGATTTTTTTTTTCGAACAATGAACAATAATGAAATACTACAAAAAAAAATCCTTCATATGTTTTTCATTATATTTTGAATTGCACACCACACATTTATCAACAATAAAGAATTTCGTTTGTAAATGTGTCGATTGTAATTTCAATTGTATAGAATTCCAAAATATATTGAAAAAAATATGAAATTCTTCGTAAAATTATGTTATTATCTCAAAAAACGAGGAAATTTGTGGAAAAAAATTTCACTTTTCTTGTTGATTTCAATTATCAACAAAAATTCTGAGATAACTCCATAATTAATGGAAATATCTACGAAAATACATTCATAAATCTTGAATTATTTTCTGTCATTCTCAAAAAAAAAAAATACTCGTATTACGCTAGTGCTTATCTTGCTAAATATTCTTCACATATTAATATAATTTGTGATTCGCACCTGAACTCTGCGAGGAATTCCCAAACTCAAACAATCTACATCAAGTATCACGAGTTGGAAATGAAAAAAATACCAACTTATGCAGTATCACTACAAATAATTCCATAATCATCAACATCTAAAGTTAAAACCACTAAAAGATGATTATCAGCAGTCGTTTGACAATCATCTCTTCACAAAATATTCGATGTGTGCATTACTCGATTAATTCTGAAGCCATCGATCGAAAGCTTACACCGACAGTGAGCAATAAGACCAATTAATTAAAAAATTCAACTTTTTTCCGATTGAACGTTTTTATCGTAATCCTCTTAGCATCTAATAGCGATGAACAATCATCAAGTCGTCACTAATGAGTCAATTTGCAAGCGAATCATCAAGCAGTGACCATTGGTACGTCTAACCATGAGCTCATTATTCCTTCAAAATAATTTACAAAAACTCTCTCCCCCTTAATAATAATTAAAAAAAAAAACAAACAAAAAAGTCGGGAAGAGACTTCAATTCCATTAGAATCGGGAGACACATGCTGTATTAAAATTGCAGCCTAACAAATCAACTCATTTTCTCCGTATTCATGAGTCAAATAAATAGATGTACAACTAGTATCAATAAAAAACTGCATTCTTGGCTAATAACTGTCCTCGATCATGGAAACTCTATGATACTGCCAAAAAAAAATTCCAAAATTTCGCCAACCATCAGTAACATAAATGGAAAAGACACGATGGAAAAATGAAGTTGAAAAAAACAAGGTAATGAGATCGACAAAAATACTGCCAACGATGATGCTTCATTCAGTCGTAATCATATAACGTATATACAGTGATTGCAGTTTTTAAAAAATCGAGAGAAAATAGACAATGTGCTCGTGAACTCCAATTGGTCTTTTGGAATGCAGTTTCTGTTTAATTTCATCGGGGATTTTCATTCATGTCAATGATTATTTACATTTCCTTCAACCTGTTCAATCGACGAGCTGTATTGCTTGTCCTAAAAAAATAAATACATTGGTGATGGGGGGGGAGAGAGGAAGGGGGGGGGGCGATAGAGAAAGAGATGAGCTGCTGGAGAAGCTTCAACTTAATTCCTTGGGGTATCAGAGGGCAATGATTTTTTCTTCCGAGCGTTGAAGAAGCGCGAGACAACGACGATACGCTGTAAACACTATTTATTCTTTTTATCATCAAGTGATGTAGATCTCTCAACTTTGGAGAATGATGGAGTGTCTGGGCTGTCGACTTTGTAACGCTTAAGGATCTTTCGAGTCTCCGGGCTTTGATCCATTATTTTACCCTTTGTACCCAATTTTGAGTCAACTTTTGAGGACTGTCCCTCCGGTTCTGGACGAGCTGTGACTTTCAGGGATGATTTGTTCGAGACAGGAATCACTGTTGTTGTGGAGTCTGAGGAGCCACTGGTCTCCGGTGTAGATCTGTCTTTAGCTTCTTCGTATTTATCGAGAGGGGAGGAAAGAGTTTTATCGGTTTCCTTGGGGCAGTCTTCGCCTCTTGCTCCTGTAGGGGAGTCCTTCTCCTCGGCGATTCGGGGGAGTTGAGTGGGGCCACAAGAATTGGAGAGGCCCACACTTGGAATAGTTATTGAAATACCGTGAGACAGCTTTGAGTATTCGGTTGGCTTTTGCTCTGCTGTTTTTTTGCCGTCTGTTTTGGGTTCGTGAGGATCTTTGGATGCTGTTTCCGGTGGAGTATCCTCGGCTGACTCAGGATGAGATGTTTGGGCGATTGTGACACGCGGTGTTACTCGGACGACGCTGTTCGCCAGGGGTGAAATCGAAGTTTTATTTTCAGCGGAGCGGGGATGCAACCGATCGGGACTCAGGGCACGACGGAGAAGAGGTGAACCAGGTTCGGCGGATTTTGGACGACCATACGTTTTCTTTTGACTCGCTGGAGTAGATAAAGATACTCCTGTGAAGGAGAAATTTTAATTAAAAGAAAAATCTTGTACTAGTGTTGTTCGAATACAAATGAATCAATTGCATTTACTCTCCCTATTTTCGCAATATTTACACAAAGTAAAATGGGTTGCTCATTTAAGAGAATTATGATACACCTCAATACTATTTCAGTGAAATGTTTTCAGTTTTACCTGGGCTGTATGACTGCGTGGTGTTAGAGCTGCCCGGTTGATGTCCTGTGGGAAAAGCCAAAGGACTTGGACTCCTAGTGGGGCTGGCTGGAATAGGTGAAGGACTTGGAGTTCTCGCCAACGGTGATAATGGAATATGACCCACTGATTTTCTACGATTAGGCGAGTGTATGTTCTTGGCGGTTGTATGCAATTTGTGCTTGAGACCGTGAAGAGTACTTGGCCGCTGATAGTGCGACTGATTCGAGAGATTACTTATGTTACCAACTGAAGTACTTGAACCAGGGGACGATGAGCTTGGACTTGAACACGGGCTGGAGGTTCCAGCGGAGTGATAAGAATCTGCTGTAGGACGGTTTGCCGTCGGTGGGGACGGAGTACACACTGATTTTGCAACACAACTTGCATAATACGGTGAGGATTCCTGTTGTGGTGGTAATGACCGAGTAAACGATTGGAACGAACGACTCGGTGTTACCATGGACGGAGAACAAATTCCTGCTGCCATCTAAATTCATTCAATTTTGTTAGGGTCATAATCTTGTTTTTTTTTCAGCAGTGATTTTGTATGAATGCTTCAGTGATTAAATGAATTCAGTGACGTAGATGTAAAAGATGGCAAGAGGATATAGCTGATAGGTGAATTTGTGAGAAATATCTCGGAATTTAATGCTTAAACGGTTCACGACAAGAAATAACACTTGCTTAATTGTGTAATCATCTCGCTAAGAACAGATTTCCGGAGTTTCAAGAATTTCCCCCTAGAACTCTCTAAAAATTAACGAAATTAACCAATTAAGTAAGTATATGTTCAGCGCAAACCGTCTTTTTAGTTGAGTACTGAATGTCCAAGTAATAAATGAACAAAAAAAAATGGATAACTCATACCATAAGTGGAGGTTTGCTGTCGCTGGGTAGAATGGGTGCTGACAATGGACAACTGATACTTAATGGCTGTAAGAAACACAAATTGGTGATTTAAAGAATAAATAAATAAAATGACTTCAGATTATCAGCTATCCTCGATAATCATTAGAAAAGTATAAATGTGATACACAAAATTTTGAGTTGTCTAAAAGTGTGATTGAACGGTGCTTTATGTGAGATAATTGACTTGATGATATATTAATTTGAGTTATAACTGCTTACTTGCTGCATTTCTACACTCGCCCGTTTTGAACTAATTCTCCTGAACAGTGATGTTTTTCTCTTCTTATCTGAATGATCCCGTTTCTGCTTTCTCTGTCTGTGCAATGTTCGTTTGGCCATTCTACTTTGTGCAAGCTCTCGCTTACGACCACCAGTCTTGATACTTGTATTTTCGAGGGGTGTACTACGAATAGTGACATGATCACCACCACTCAGCATCAATTGAAGTACCTGGGTGTGATAAAGACCTTGGACTGGCTCGCCATTTATGTGAGTTATCAAATCACCTGGCCTGAGACCAGCCTCGAACGCAGGACTCGATTGATCCACCGCCATTACTAAGTGATGCATTGTATAAAAATCACTGTCCCCATAATAAACCCTAATTGTATGAACCGTGAAACCGAAGCCATTGGGTCCCCTTCGGATGATAGTCGGTGGCTTTAGGCTCGTAACCAGTGGACTCAACTCACGACATGGCGATGTATCCCTTGAAGAGGCGGTCGATGAGCCCCCTGGTGATTCTATCGATTGGCACATCGACGGATCGACTGGAAAAATTCATTCAGTACAAAACAAATTATAAAGGAAAAGTCAAAGTCATGACTCACTGGCCATGCATTTAACCGTGTTATGAATACTAACAGGAGAATTCATTTGTTGGTATAACCAGCGAAAGTCCACTTGTCGATGCTGATTTTATGACTGAACGAGCCTTCTGTTTAACGTAAAGTGGTAGTGGTGTTGCATTTAAAGACTCATAGGAATCCGTGCTGGAATTGTGTTTATCGTCAGATATTTCTCTATTTGCAGTTCCCAAATCCAATCTGTAACATTATTTCGACAAATTAATATTAATATTTTGACAATTTTTTATGACCCATAGAAGAAAGTTATATTTTTCACTTCCTAATCGACAATTATTTTATTCGTGAATGAACAGTGTCATGTGGTGATAATGCAAAGCTGAAGTACTGTGTTCGAAATCATGAAACAAAGATTAAAAAACTAGATCAACGAGAAGCCAAATAAAAATGAGTTGAATGGAACATAGGCAGCGAATACGACTGAATGAAAAAAATAACAAATAAAAAAAAATCATGAATGCCAGCACCGGCGTATGACTCACGTGTGATCACCATCAATGGAAATACTGAACCTGGGCAGCTTGTCACGTGCATGAACATGCCGTTTCCTCTGTATCTGCGGACTAATATCATCGGATTCCGTCTGGGATGATTCAGGGGTGCTCATCCCAATGACTCCCACAGTGCCCCCAGAATTTTTGATAGTTCCCTTGGATTCTCCACTCATCATAGAGCCGGGACTATTAGAAGACACATCTGATCCACTCTTATCAAGTGTATCATTATGCGATATATTTTTGCTTGTGAATAAAGCTCGGTTCTTCTCCTGCCCGTCTTTCTCAAGAGCCCTGAGAGGTGGTGAAAATGAATTCGATGAGTTTGGTGATAACTGTGAGACACTTCTGTCATTATCACTCTTGAATAATTGCTTTTTCGAGGAATCTAGCTCACTATCCTGCATCAAATTAGGTGGCCTTGTTTGGGAAATTTTTCTCGACTGCGGTGAATAAGACGAGAAACTTCCAAACAGTGGTGAGTCATCAGTGTCATCAGTGTCCTCCCCAAGATCATGATTATATCTGTCCATTCTCGTGTCAAAATAACTAGTGTCCTCGTCGTGCGTCAGCTGAGGAACAAATTCAGCCTTCTGCCTCAAAAGAGTATTCCAGTTGACTCCATAGAAATAAAGGTGCTCTTTGACTTCGTGAGCCCCACCAGTTCCCAGTCGTTCCCTGGCACTCTGCTGGAGAAGAGCAGTGATTATGTCCTTTGCCTCGAGTTGGACGGGCCAGTCCTCTTCATCGGGCCACTCAATATCATCGTTAACAGTGTGCGCAAACAACTCCTCGGGAGTGTCTCCGAAAAATGGTACACAACCGATCAGGAATTCGTAAAGTATTATTCCCATGGACCACCAGTCCACAGGCTTTCCATATCCTTGCCTTAGAATTACCTCTGGGGCGATGTACTCAGGTGTGCCAAACACCTGCTTATCTGAGAACTGACGAGTGTCACGATCAATGTAACCCTCATATAAATTCGTAGCCAGGGACATTAAACCCATTTTGCTGAGACCGAAGTCAGTGAGTTTGATGTGTCCCAATGCAGTGATCAAGAGATTGTCTGGCTTGAGATCTCTGTGGACGATCCCATAGCTGTGGAGGTATTCAACAGCAAGGACAGTCTCAGCGAAGTAGAACCTCGCCATATCCGGAGGAAGGGGGCCAATGTTTTTCAGTAGACTGGCACAATCACCACCTTCCACATACTCCATCACGAGACACAGATGCTTCTTCGTCTCGAAGCTGCAGTACATAGAGACAACGAAAGGATTGTCTGTGAAACTCATGATATCACGTTCTGCAAACACCTGATCCACCTGATTTCTCAGCATGAGATTGTTCTTGTTGATTTTCTTCATGGCAAAACGCTGACGAGTGCTTTTCTCTTTGACCAAGTACACTGCGCCGTAGGCCCCATTACTGACGAGCTTAAGCACTTCGTAATCACTCTCGCAGGGCACCTTTTGGCATTTTCCGTCGTCTTCCTTATTAGGACTCGAGGACATCTGCACGTTTTTCGAGGCTGAGCTCGCTGAGTCCTCCAGTTTATTCAGATCTTCTTGGAGGTCTGATATGGGGTCTCGATTGAGGGAGAGTTTACTAATGATGTACTGGGGAATGTCAGCTTTCAACCCATTGTTGATTTTCGCCTGGCCCTCTGCCTGCTCCAGGAGATGGTAAAACTCCTCTGGATCGAACTCAAGGCACTCGAGGAGACGAGCAGGCCGTGAAATTATCAGTAACAATTTTTTTATTAGACCCGTCAACTGAGTAGCTGCCTCCAGGGACTTGTCCTTCGTCTAGACACAAGGTAAATGTTACTTAATTGTTTATTGTTTTAGATAATCGCCACTCACTTCTTATTTTGCGATTTTTTTTTTTTTTGAAATATCAATCATCAGTTGACGTAAATAATACTCACCTCCATCAACAAATGCTCAAGGCTCTCAGTCATCTCGTAGAAATACCGCGATGCTATCAATTTTTCTTGTGATTTTTGCAGACAATCACGAGCCATTTCAATAATTTGATGATGCACAAATCGGACTATTGGTAAACAATCACCCACGAGGTGGGAGAGAACCTCGTACTCATCAATATCTTTGTTTTCGTTTATGAAATTTGTCAGACGCTCCTCCATCTGCTGAGTTGCCTGGTGGAAAGAGGTAGAAAAACACCCAAGGACGTGTTAAGGTGATTTCGAAAGAACAATCATAAAATGATAAATTACGTGTCAATGATTTTTGTCAAGGGAGAGAAATATTCTGAGATCACAGACATTATTCACGGTGAGTTTGCGGAACCAGTGGAATTTGGGTCAGACTTATGACCTCGTGTTTGGAATAAGAGAATACGCGTCTCGTAGTAGAGTAAAAGCCACTCTTGTTCCTGATTCCGTTATTTTTGAATGAATCAACACATTTGTCACTTGAATTGGCATTGCGCCAGTTTGTAGTATATTACTCGCAAGTCGAGAGCAATATTTGACCCTCTAATGGGTCAATCATAATTGATGTCTCATGCAAAATATAAACACGAGGGTAAGTCTACATAATTAAAATTTAAGAAATTATACTGGGAGGAGTTGCGGACGATCGCTCTGGTGCTATAAATTTTTTATGTAACTTGTTTTGAATGATATGTTCTTATGAAATTAATTGCGTTGTACTTACTTTAGGGAAGCGTTCTTTGTAGAGAGTATTCATCATCACAATTTCATTGTCGAGAACTGGAGAACGACTTGGACTACTGCAATATGAATGTGAAGAGTACTTTAATTGAATGAAAAGAAGGAAATTCATAGCAAACTCTTCAATAAACATTTATCAACCCAAAGATTAAGTATTAAATTCATATAAATGCAGTACGATAAAAATAAATAATTTCATAACAAAATTGATGACTCGTGAATTGGAATGGAAAAGTAAACGGCGAGAAGGTGTATGACACTGTGAAATATGGAATAAACGAAAAAAAAATCACTTGAATTAACCAATGATAAGTACTTGCCTTAAACTCCGTGATCTTGGTCGATGCAATGGTGACCTCCGACCTTCTTCCTCAAGACTAAATGATATACTGCCAGGTATACTGGAGATACTAGAGCCTGGGAAGCCCGGATGCGATGAGCACGGGGTGCCAGGTTTAGAAAAATGACAGGAGAGTATTCTAAGCTCGTCCTTAGTCGGAATGTTTGGCAACTGATGCAGCCGCTCTTGGCTCGAGCACTGGGAGGAGACATTGCTGGAGCCTGGGGTTGTGCCATATCCACTCGAAGGAAGACTTGCTACCGACCAACGTCTTCCATCGGCAGTACCGGATGCTCCACCTCCGATTCTATCGACCCAATTCAAGTTAATCAATCATTTTTTCTGTACTGAATCGTAAATTGATCCCAAATAGGGTAGTCGATTTACTACCGGGGGTTAAAATGACTGGCGTACCTTTTTATTGGAGCAAAAGCAAAGTGAGGACTTGAAGACATCCTTGGGCTCTCGAGTGGACTTCCTACGATGGGCACAAATGCTGGAAAATTATTATTGATTAGGTAATTAAGTAATTAGCCCCTCCATTTTCATTATGGAAATTAAACGATCGAGGTCACTTGAATGTATAATATAATAATTCAATGATTATTCGGAGGGACTCTAACCCTGATGGATTTGATACTGACAGAAGTGAGTTGCAAGAGGTGAGATTTTTTTTTCACAACCTTACATGATAATAATATTAGATTAAGGACAGCTGCCAAACTGAGAGGTCTTTGTTTGCGCAATTTTTCATCACTCCACGCCACTTCCACACGAATAATTAGATACACGTGCCAAATTTCAAACTCTGATTGTTGGCTCCAAATGGGTTTTGTATCCATGTTACGAGTATCGGTTATGTGCAATTGTACGTCAATTGTTGATTGAATGGAGTAGGGAAGAAGGGAGGAAGTGGTTGGAGGTTTTACCTGACAATGGTGAGTGACATCGTGGTAATGTGGGTGAGGTTGTGGCGATGAACGATTTGCGTTGAGCTGCCTTGGCTGCACGACGAGGAATATTGAATTCACGCTGTTGGCATAATTATAAAATAATTAGTTCAAGAATTTTTGAGGTATTCGAACACTCAGTTAGTCTCGGTCATAAAGATTGCGGTACAAAATTATCCAGAGAAATTTTTTATCCAGATATGATTCAGTGATTATTTGTTTTCATAAAACCTAATGGGAATGGAATTGACTGTTAATTCGTAGAAATTAATTACCATATGCATAGATAAGGACGGTGCGGATTTTCCAATCGAATTCCTCATTCTCACCAAGTTTGATAACTCATTGGTACCCCCTGTAAATGTCAAGATAATTAGATTAAATAAACATGAAAAAAAAATAAATTAAATGATGTAATAAAAAATTCTTTTCATTTTGTAGAACAGACATTTTTAAGGAAAGAAAAACAATAAATGTTGAGCAAGAAGAAAATAGCTAGACTACATTTTCGGAAAATTCAGATATCAAGCAGTGACTATTCGTAAGCAATTCAAATTTCCCAGGACCATTAATTTGCCCGGACATAAATAGGCTCCAACTTGAACATTTCAAGCAAATTGACTTCTAAATGCATTTTCGAAAAATAACCGAAACAAAAAACGATACATGATTCTAACATTCCAGCCGTTTGTAACGTCACTGCAAAATAATGATTGTTGCATAGATCAACATATCTTGGTGAGTGTATGCAATGTCTCACCAGCACGAACTGGTGCCTCTTTGCTGTCGAGTCTCCCTGGCAATTGCTGCTTCTTTTCTTCATGAGTATTGCCACTGTTATCCTCATTTTCAGTCTGATCAAACACGAGAACACGAGCCGAGTTGCCATGTGAACGAAGACGTGGCCTGCTCGGCCTATTCCTTCCAAGATCCATCGTACAATCGTTTATCTTCTTGATATCACAGAAATACTGAAAAAATAAGAACGTTAAACAGATTAATACTTCGGTATCAGACGATCATTTTTATTATTTTTTATTCTTCATTCCTCATTGCCTCTCTCTGTTATTTTAATACACAATAAAATTTTGGTGCACTCGTTATTAATGCTGATTGCATTTTTAAACTTCAAGATGAGAATTTCGTGTATTTTCCTATTTCAGAATTGTTGATCGAATTTGTTCAGCTATTTTTACGGGTGATAAGTAAAGCGAAAAAATATACAAATGCTGGGGCAAATGGGAGAGTACACAGAATACAGAATTGGAGTGAACATTGTTGAAATTTGCAAAAACAAGTGATTCACACGATGTTGTTTACCACTTTGCTATTAAAATATTATGCAATTAACAATTATTGAAATTTGCCAACGATTGTCAGTAATAATTTGTCCTTTACCGAATCTAGCTCAATGAGCGATTGACTTTCCTCGATTGATTCGAGAATTTTACAATAATCCCATTGTAGACGCTGCTTGATATAACAATACTCATAGTTTGCGCAATGACAAAATCAATTGAAACGATTTAAAAAGGCACATAAAAATGTATAATTATTACAATTGATTATATGTTGAGGATTAAAACGAACAGTTATAAATGTTAAACCCTGAAACAGACCAATATACAAATTTGGATAGGCAACTGTTACAAATGCAACCGCGGATGACCCCCACTGAGTCACTTTCCAAATATTCTACAAATGTTTTGACAATCTCACGCACTCAATACAACACGAGAGTACCCCTGGCTCCATATTGCATCCAAAAATAATTAAATCTACGAGAAGACACATTCTATTCTTGAATATTGCCTATTCACTAAAGACACATGTCACAAATTATATTTTTCCAGCACCACACCAGAATCACTCACGTGTTTTCCCCAAATCAATGACGCAAGATTCTCAGGCCCTTGGAGAGTAAACAAATCCCACAATGCAATTATGTAAATTTAATAATTATCGTGGATTCGACTCTGACGATATCTTCAATAATAAACATCTCCACTAGCAAATAAATCAATACAACCGCGTAATCTCATGCACCGCATCATTGACCATTGATAGCAATCAACCCGTAAATGAAAAAAAAATAAAGGAAAAGGTCAGAAAAAGTGAGTCAATAATTGTCTTGAACCAGAAGTAGTAGAGAGCCAAGCCCTTACCACAAAATCACCGAAAGCAGGGACTGTCACTCTGGGGAGGGAATCAAGACCCCTCACTTCCCGGTAGTAACAATAATAACCAAAAGCATGTAATTTACCTTTTGAATCCTTGAGGGCAATCGGGAAAGAATATCGTCGTGGAGTTTATTCACCGTCGGACAGATTCGATGAAATAAACACAAAAAAACTAATCCACATTGACTGTGTGACAAAAAAAGAATTGCGAAATTTGTCGTGCAGCGTATATGAGAAAAGTATTTACTCCCGAAGACTTGTGGGTGTATGCAAAAAATTTTCACAGTATCGAATAATATATAAGAGTGATAACCATGAAAAATAATGCTCACGACTAACGACAATCATTGAATATGATCACATCCGTATTCGTTTATTTGGTGGATGCTTTCTGCACAACCGGTGAACTTGTTTCGTCGATATTTCATCCATTCTTGTGGGAGTTTTACGGGATAAAAGCACAGAACCACGGATGTTTTCTCTATTTTTACGGTTTTTTTCTATCGAGAGTGAAAATTCATTACGAAACCCGTTGCGACCATGGGTTTTTTCTGACTCATGACGGACAACAGCGAATGGGCCTCAAAAGAGAGTATGCACGGACCCACAGTCCAACACAGACACTGCAAGAATTAAAGATGTGCGGCTAGTAGTCATTCGTTACTTTTCAATCGTTAATTTGGCAAGCCCTAAGTAACAAGTGTCAAGAGTGAACAATATTCGGAACATGGGGCTGCTTTATCGACCGTTGGTACTTAACAGTTGCAGGCGAAGCTCAACGGTCAACCTCAAAGAGGATTGACTGAAGTAGAGGCTGAGTTCTAGGGGTTGGAGTGACGACATAGTAGTACTGCACCGCAAGAGAGAGAGGGCGCCACACGCAATGGGAGTGTCTGTACGTCAGCGGACTGGGTAACTGCCTCAGTAGAAGTCCCGCTGTCAGAGGGACCAATTGACTGGATAAATTTTATTTTTTGAAAATTAAAAATTTTCCAATTTCAGTGAATACCTCCTAGATTTTCATGCTCTCCTGATACTTTTTTGCG